CTAAATACCCAGGCCTCGTGAGTATAATTAATAGGAAGAATTCGGTGGTGAAAAATGTGTTTTCTACTTCTTTTTGAATAGGAGTGGCAGTGCACTATCGTTCACACGGATATTAGTGCTATTTTCATTTTACCATTTTTCCCCCAATATCTTTATCTGATAGATGAAAGAGATTTGGATCTGACAGGGGGTCTTAAATCTAAATCTCGGATGATAATTGTATCACTTGTTATATCGTGTTTTGGCTTGCTATCCATTTTGTCATGCTTTGGACGAGATTTGGAATTGATTTACTTTACGCAGCCCCAAAAGATTCAATATTGTTGAGGTGGAACGCTTCGAATTATCAGACATAAAGACACCAAAGAGTATCACGTAGTTTCATAAAAATTAGTTCAGTAGGATACTGTGCTAGAACCAAATGCGTTTGACCTACATCTCAAGCACAATTCCATCTGGTGTCATTTTGGTTCAATGTTTTACCTGGTTTCAGAAGGTATATTTAGATCTTGACGACGCGTTAATTGGACATAGATCGAATAAACAAAACAACCCCCCACTTTTTATAGCTAATTGATGCACATAAACCACTGGAGAATACAGAAAACATCTCAGCAATGCTGTTAACTCTTCTTCAATTGCATGCCTGTCATACTAACAATCTCGTTCTGTCATTGTTCCAATATATACACTGAGTTTTCTTCACGTTGACAGGCATTCGATTGTTTTCAACTTGAAAAGGCTCATAATTATGACAATGACGATATTAAAAAAATAATCAGTTTCTCTAAAAATAGCCTTCATACACCCCTGCAGATAAACGAATGCGAGATTTAACGATTCTAACTAACATCTAAGATTTGTCAAGAATTCTTCCGTTTTTTACCCCTTGTGCGTTTAACTTGATGTATACATATGAAGTTTCTTGACTCTATTTTCTAAATGAGACGTTCTTAACTTGGTTCTTCCCAAACATACCACGAACATAATGTAGAACCTGATAGTCTTTTACTGCAGCAGGATTACTGTTTTAACCAAATTAAATTTAAATTCCAATTTAACCAAATTGGTTGCAAGATAAAGTGTTATTCTATTAAGATAGAAGGCAAGATAAGACCAAATTGTCTTGGGCTTGTTTCGCCCACCTTGAATTATTTTATGGTATATATTGCCTGGAAGTGTTGGATATTTTCTGTGTTTTAAAGGATTATATATTAACATGTGGAAATATATTGTCTTAGTGATTTTTACTGTAAGTTACATCTCTTTCTATTGGGATTATATAAAATTGTGTTTTACCTTCTACTTTTCTGCACCTAATTGGTCCTATGAAGACTGGTCTGATGCGATTAAAGATATTGTTTCTATCCCTTACGTGTGTATAGGGAACACTATTTACAGGTGGAAAATACTCTAAGGGCCTATTGTTTCTATTTGTTTTTGTAAAGTGAACACTGATCTATTTTCCCCAATACAGACATGGTGTACATGATAGTAACTTCATCATCTGACCAGGGTGGAAAATCAGAATTTCCCAATTGAAGTTATAGAAGTATTCAAATGTAGTATAATTCACTAATTAAGATATCTTGGATGGGCATTTCTGAAATGAGATTGAGTTTTACGTTCTTAATCCCTGAAATCCAACTCAAGATCACTAAAGATAAATCATTTAAGAATATTCTAAAGCTCAGCTGATGTATTTCTTAAAATCTGAATTCGATCTCAGTTAAAATGTTGTGAAACAGGCCTCTGATCTCGCTTAACTTTATATTGATTACCGCGAGAGAAATTTTGCCAGGACAACTGCATAAGAATATAGGGGGGGGGGGGGGTTAGGTTGACCTTGTGACTGACAATCGAAGAGCAATTGGATTATTAACTAGTATCAGGCGATATCATGAAAAATCTGATAAATCCATGAATGTTTTGGACGAAATTGATTGAATGTTATTCAAGTAATCAGTAGTAAACCTGAGAACATGTGTTTTAGCAAATTTCTTTCCTTTCAAGGTAACAGTATTGGTAGAAGGGGAAACAGATAAAGATATCGGAAGAAAACTTTATGGTAATCCTGATGTACTAATCATATTCTATCTTACCTATCACCCGGACCAGAGCTTTTATGGGAATTATATTCTCCTATCACCTTAACTCTAGCGCACCCCTGAAATGTCGAATGAATCTACCATCTTGATGAACCGATTGTCATTGTCATTGTGATACGAGTGCAAATTCTACGCTAGTTCGTCTGCTGGTTCCAATTGTTGAAAATTGCGGCAAAACTGCCAATGAATTGCTAATGGAAATATTTGGTTTTAAAAGTATGTTTAATTGACTGCAGAAATCTTTGTTAGGTCTTACATTTTCAGAGAAATGACATATTGTTTTACTTTTTTAACAAAATAATGGGAAAATGGGAAGATTTCAGTAACCACGGAGGCAAATATCATCTTTACTATCAATTAAACAGAGATAAAAGACTTCTTAGATAAATCATGTTGCCATCCATCATGTTAATTAAAATTTGAGGTACAATTCTCAAAATGATAAAAAGTTTGATTGAAATGAACAATTCTCAACGGCTCTTCAAACAAATTCCTGATTTAAAACTTATTCGGCAGGTGTATTTACACTATGTTATTCTGACACGTTATTTCAAACTAAAGTTTTTTTTTCCATTAGACATGTAATTAGCTGTGAGCACATTGAACTAAATTAAAGTTACTGCCAAATCTACGTGGTTATTTTTACAGCTTTTCTTCAGTTTTTATTTTTTTTATCTTACTTGATCATTAGGCATCACACAGTTCTTAACAAACAAATTTTGTGTTTTCAATACCATCTTCAAATTTTAAACAGAAAATGTTTAAGTGGACGCGAGTTCATCCAAACGAAACTGCGTATGGTTCTTACAGAGTTTCGTATGCTTCTCATCAAACTTTATGCGGTGAACCATTTCGAGTATTCTGCACTTTCAGTTTCGTAAAAGCTTTCGTTATGTTACCAGAATATTAGCAGTTCATCAACGATGGCCCCATTACCAGTGGCGTTTCAAGAATCACTTAAAGGGGTGGGGGGATTCTTTCCTTGGGGGAGGAGGCAAAGTCGGACCAGCTTCAGTTTACCCACCGCACAGATCCAATCACATTGGTTAAGAATGTGAGGCTCAACAAACTCTTTACTGAGTCGATATCATTGGTTAAATGGTACAGGCTTAACAATTTGTTCCAGGAACAATATCTACTCACCCCCCTCCAACACCCCCCTAAAATTGGATTCTTCTTGAGAGATAACAGCTTTACTATATCGATAGATATGACTTATTAATGCTACAGGGTTAATAATTTGTTCCCACTAGAGGTGAATGTCTCGTATGAAATGAGACTACAGTGTTGACATCTCTGTATATCAGTATAGTATAAAAAAAATATAATTATGCTAATTCAACATTCAAAGAAGCTGTAATTGTTTTACCATACCGTGTTATTCTAACTGCACTATTTTAACTTTCAGAAAGAATAGCCGAGAAGCCTGTTTATTATGAAGTCGATAAGGGTACGTAGGTTTTAATGTAAAATGCAGAAATGGTAAAATAAAGTCAAGAGCAGTGAGATACCAACCAAAACACTCTGAAAATGAAACATTTCAATCTTTACTTTAATCATACGATATACGCGAAAATAACGACATAATCAACATGCAAAAAGCGGCTTCCTCTCCCATCAGTATGCTCTCTAATGATACATCAACTATCCAATACGAAAAAATTTCAGTAGTCCCATAATAACCACAGTTGAAAACCAACCGGAAGTGAGATTTTCTTTTGTGAAAACTGTCCAATTACTTTCGAAAAAAAAAACAGTCAAACGCTATTGTACGAAAACAATGAGTGCTTGATAAAAATCTGTGGCGGTTTTCAAGTCGAAAATCGCGATCGTTCAACAGGAATTCTAAAAGTCATGCCTTGTGAAATTTTGAGAAGTTAGGTTTTGTTTACGTACATTTACATGTTGCAAAAACAATAGATTCACAGATTCCTGCCAAATTCAGGTCTGTGAAGACAGAAAAAGGAACTTCGTAATTTGTCAAGAAGTAGTTTTTTGACAATTTTTAAACGTTATGCCTCGTGACATTTAGAAAGGTTAATTTGCTCCTTTTCTACGAGAATTATACATACTGCGTTAAGATATAAAAGACGGTGGTTTAGAACAAAAGGGGATTCTTAACGGAAGTTGTAAAATAAAAAACTGTAAAAAATTTCCCTGTAGTTAAAAAATCGAACAAACTCGTTATTCGAGGCGTCATTTTTAACACGCCTGCTCTTGACATAGCCTAATATTGGTTGTTTACAAGAATAATATACACTGATAAATAAGCCCTTATCATCGAATCACGCCGTTTTTAAACTGTTCAGAGAACAAATGTCGTTAGCAATCAGAATTGACGTTTTACTGATAGTCTACATAGATACTCAGAATCTGAGAACTACTTTATTTTACATTCAGAAAGATAGAGAGCCCATTCTCTAAATTTAGGTTTATGTGCGTTTCAATATGCTGATAATTAAGAGCTCCTATAGAGTTTCTTTTGTAGTCAAGGACCAATCCTATAAAACATGCTCATTTATATCTTGTTGATAAAGAGGTGACTTGGTACTGTTTACACCAGTTCTTAATTTTCGTTTTGTACGTTGATGTTTCACTTATTGAATGCACATTTGTACAACTCAATCTTACTAAAAATGGAGATCTTGATCTGTTATGATTTATATTTTGTCTACAGGTTACTACACTTGCCATCTATGATCCGACGCAATTTCTTTTTTAAATCTTGTTCTGTGGAATTTCGACCCAATAGTGGCTCAACTACCATAGGGACTGTTTGAACCAAGTCCATGGGCCACCACAAAAAAGAATAAAGGAGAGCATATGCTTAAAAAAATCCCAGGGAAGGGGCCCCAACTTATCCAGTTGAGCCACCGAGACCGACAATTTGAAATGCTTTCATTATGTATAATATCTCAATTGTTTTTTCCAGTTTGTCGTCAAAGGCCACTAGAGCTTGTCTTCATAATAGACGCCTCAGCAAGTATTTGGTGGCAAAATTTCACCAAAGCTAAAAATTTTGTGGATAATTTTATTGGGCAGTATGAAATTGGTCCAGATAAAGTAAGGATTGGTTTAGTGACGTATGGTAATTTTGTTTATTTTATGGATGTTATCAGGCTTTCTAAGTACGAGGATTTACGTACTCTTCAGCATGCTGTACAGAAACTACCTTACAGAGCTGGTCACAGTACCAGAACAGGTTGGTGTTCAGAATATTATTGTCAATGAGTCCATAAGTGGTGTTTCTCCTGACACATAGAGATGCCCACAGTTCTAATTATCCCGTGTGCTACAGGCTGTGCACGTTAAAGCTCGACAGTTGGAAATAAAAAAAAAGTAGGCTATTGCCGCCCCCATGGCAACATTTCCCCCATTGCACACTGAAGAGCGTTGCCAGCCCGTCATGAGCCCATTAGGTGCAGAAAAGTAGGATGCAAACTCCAATCATTTAGTTTAACTTAAAACGAAGTTGTAAAAGCATGTATCTACACTATATCCCTTCCATATGACAGTTCGTTTTTACCTTTCAACAGGTAATGCTATAAAATATGTCCGGACGAGTTTATTTGCTGAATCCCGAAAAGGAGTGCGGAAGGTAGCGGTTGTAATGACGGATGGAAACTCGAGATTCCCGACAAGAACAGCCAAACAGGCTCATATAGCCCGGTATGACGATATAGAGATGTATTGTATTGGAGTCAGTGATCAGGTCAGCCACAAGGAACTGGTCAACATTGCCGGGGAAGAGTCCAATGTTTTTTATGTCACCAAGTATTCTGAATTAGAAAAGGTGAAAGGACGACTGGCTATGAAAACATGTACTAAAGTCGGTAAGTTTATTACAAATTTAAGTTCTCTTCCATATACTAGACGTTAATAGTTTATAGCAACTGGGGACTTTCTGAGACGACGAAAGCCATAATAAAACAAACATGTAACAAATTAATTGGCATTGGTTACAACTCCAAATTCTGCCCAAGAGTTCACAGCTTTTTTATGCTAGTTTTATTGGAAGGACAAATTTAGTTCTAGGAATTAAGATTCGATTAATATCATAAAATCAGCAACAACGGTTTAGGTCAAGAATACAAATAACAGTCAAATAACCGAACACAATTTAATGGTACATCTCTCTTCCCCTAATTGTCGGTAAAGGATTAAATATCTTTTCGTGTTTTCGTCAAATAGACAAATGAATTTTCATAAACAAATGTTAATGTTTAATTTTTCAGTCCGAACCACTACTACCACCACCACCACGACTACAACTGCACCAGCACCGACTACGACTACAGAACCAACTACGACTACTACTCCGACTACAACCACTACTACACAAAAACCTACAACAACTACTAAGAAACGTAAGTTCAATTCAGACATTATTTTATTTATGTCTTGATTGAAGGCGGCGAAATTCATTGATTTTCTTCTTGGGACGGTTTGACATTAACGAATCTTACGACCTTCTTGCATTTTATCTAAATATTCAAAAATCTTACTCATCAAATATCCATGGTAAACTCTACTAAACCATACTTTTTGAAGTTTAAAGCACGAAAATAAGATTCAGTTCATATTCAAAATAGTTTTCGTTTCTCTGAAATAGATCTATTTCTTTAACCACAAATTAATCTATCGACAGCGAAAACCACTCAGATACCGATCACTTCTGAAACATCATCAGAGACGGATGAAACTGACGACAACGACTCTGAAGACGATTCCGATGGCGCTACCTTAACTGAAATAGCAGGATCCCAAATAGTTACCGCCAAGAAACCAAAGACGGATGGTGGCGTGGTTATTAATATACATATACAATCGGATCAAGAAGAGACTGGAAGTGAGACTGAGGAAGCTGGAAACACTGAGCAAGAGACTCTTGACACATCTAACTCCTCCGAAGGACTTGAAGCCTCTACTTCAAGAACTGTAGAAAAGTCAAAAGCCAAACGCAAAGGAAGTGTTAAATCGTCTTCAAAGAGGCGAAAATCCAAATCTACCACAGTAGACTTGAGTAAGTACAAGCGTTACCAGTTCTCCAGTTTGTTTCAACGATCGTTTGTACATTGTTCTGCGGCGATATTCAATTCCAAACTGCAGGTGCAATGAAATAGCAGCCAAGACGACCTGCAGTATTTGTGCCAAATCGTTACTGTAGCCAGTATCACTAGCTAACAATTTGGAGTCTCTTTCAGAGATTCGGATAGATGGCATCGATACTCCAACCTTAATTCTTATCCATATAAAAAAAAGAGATACATTGTTCTTTGCGCCAATAAATTGATTTATTGTCCTTCAGAAATCTCAGGAGCTCGTCGTCAATCTACCGATGAAGGTAAACTGGTAAAGCTTGAAGAACTTTGCAATTCCCAATTCAAAGGCATACCATTCTTACCATTGATATAACATATTCGTTTCATCTTCATAGTTTGAGCTTCACAGTTTCACCTCTTGCTTTGTTATGAGCACTAGTTTGCTTTTACATTGCGCATTTCCAGTGGCAGTAAGCGATCACGCTATTAAAAAATAACAAAGGGTTCGAGATGGAGACGATGACGAGAAACAAAATCATCACCAGAGTGAAATTTGAAACTGAAAGTATACCAGAATGGAAGGACAACGACAATAAAAGTCAACTACTGCTGATGATCACCGTAAACACAGACACAGGATTTCAAATTGAGACTCTACTGCTCTAACTAACAGCTATTTTGTGGCTTACTATTAAATGGATGCACCCTGCACGAAAAGTTTTACGAAAGGGTTTTTTATTTATTTATACAAGTCACAGTTTGATTGCTGTCCGAATGATGCTAAGTTTTGTTAGAAGGTTTAACAAACCCTGCTTGAATTCAACTTAGACTGAGTTGAATTAAAATGCTTTAGAATTGGTTTTGTGCTTTGCCAGGAATGAAGTTAAAATATTTTGAAAGAAGTTGGATGATTGACAAATAAATATTATATTATTATATTATCAGTTGGAACCATTCGAGACAGCCACGAGAATTAAGGTAGCAAACAGTTCTTCAAGAACATCTCTGCTGGTGGTCGTATTGTTTTGTTAATGAACTAATCTATATTTAGAATATTTTTTTTATTATTAGCAGTTTGTTTATATTTGGAATTTAGATACAGAAACATTCGCTAATTTTTTGCAGCATGAGAACGTGCGAGAAGTCATAAGAGACGAATCTGGACATTTTCAACATTAATGACATTTCATTAACATGATGATTTCGTTTTTTCTGTTTTCAGCAACTACCACTCCCGCGCCAAAAATGTCATCAGCTATTAGTGGAAAAGGTAATTAATGTTTTTATAATGTTTGAAAACTTGCCAATATCGTTTTACTTCCATCATTTAAACATCAAGTTTGAAAGAAATGGCACATTGTTTCATTGACGTACAAATTGTTAATGCATTGAGTTTTGGCGATAATTATGCTGTGTTATAACTGAAAACAAACTGAATCCTTGCTTCGTTGGCTAGCTTCGATCAATTTACAGAATCTAACTAGTATTTCCACCAGTATTTCCCAATGAGCTGCACGAAGTCTTGCTCTTGAGTAATCCATCGAATCTGTTGGAAAAAACAAGAAATAAAACCCTTTTACTGAATATTAGAAAGTAACGTGCAAATGAACAGATTTCCTACCTGTATAACATTAGTGAATTATCAAACTGATTGCAATGGACATTGTGTCGTCAAATGTGTGTGTGTACAAAACGAAAATTGATCAGAGAATATCTCTTGAAAATTGAGGTTGAACATCCATTATTTGGATAAGAAAACGGAATCTCTTTTTCATGATGCTTTTACATATTGGTCATGATTTGTAAACTTATAAATTATATCTCATTTTATTGTAAAGTTACTCTGAAAAAGTTATCAAAGGGAAAAGGAAAGAGAAAAAGAAAAAATAAGAAAGATTTCCTACAGAATGATGAGGGTAAGGTTTTAATTCAACTTGACATAGAAAGAAATTACACTGAATGGATTCTGACCACCTTAATGCCGTGCACAGAAGACGCACAAGACGCACCACTTTTCACGGTGTTGGATGTCACTAAGAGACTGACATAGTGTATGTTTTCCTTACAAGACCATTAATACTATGCAAGGTCTAATATACTATTACGGATCGTAGTGCCATTCCGGGTTTGCAAACCATATCGTAATGATAAAAATAAAACTGGATCAAGGCAGAATGACGAAAAAGCTATATGAAAGTTGAAATTAGTTGACAATAACTTAGAAATTAATTTGCTCAAGGCATCGGTTCCTTGTTAGTCTATCTTTCAAATGCTAACAGGAAGGTTCAAGAGATTTGTATTAATGCTGAACACATGGTGATTCTTTGACAGGTTTATCATAATGTTTTCACCGAGAATAGTTATCTTTTTAAAACTCGAATTCAGTTTATTTTTCCTTTTCACTTTTTTGTTTCAGCTTGTGGATCTCAAAATCCAGCTGATGTGTATTTTGTATTCGACCCAGCAGCTTTGGGGACATCTAAGACAGATTGGGTGGCCAGGTTCATCCGACGATCCATCAACACCGGGGACATGGAGCATATGCAGTTTGGTATACTTAGCGGATCTTGTCCAATTGATGCTGGTTTTGATTTAGACCGTTATGATAACATCGAAGACATTGAGAATCATTTAGCAAAACTGACCACACCAAGAATCCCTGGGTTAATGGAAGATGTTATTGCCAATGGTTACTCAGTTGAACGTGGAGGACGACCGGACTGTCGTAACGTTACCTTAATGTTCGTAGGAAACCGCATTAAAGATGCATCTGAAATTGTTAAAGCCGCCAGGAAGGCTCGGGATTCTGGCATCGAACTGTATTTTGCGAATGTTGGTGATGCTACAGAACGTCTTATGAACAGACTTGATCAATTTGGAAAACGTCTTGACCACTCCAAATCATTGATTCTGCAAGTGTCACAATTTCTGTCAGGACTGTGCTCAAAGTAATGTCAAGTTATAAGCTTTAAAAGTACGGATTTTCAATCACCACCAACGGTAGAAAGCTGACGTGATATGTAAATAAATTGAACATAGTATACATGTATATATATTTATGTTGTGCGTATACCAAGCTTATATCGAGCTTATGTTGAGCTTAAGTCACGTTTATATTAGATTTATATTGTGCTTATTTTGAGCTTAAATCAGACTCGAGTTTTTATTGTGCTGATGTGGAGCTTATATAACGTGTATATCAAGCCTGTGTCGAGCGTAGGCCTATATCAGGAATTGTGTTCCACAGGGATATATGCATGATACATGTCTTACAAAGGGACATATTTTATGTCAAATGTATAGTAACCGTATTTATTAATCAGTGGTATTAACCTGCTCATGCTTAACGTATGCTTGCATATGATAGATTTGTTTGGTCGGTCAAGTTTTGATCTGCTTGCAAATCGAAATGAAGTCTAATGACTCAACAGTCAGGTTATGACAGAATCGGGGAGATATGTGAGATATGAGCTATCCTTTTCAGGTTTTTTATTCTCTTCTCATCTCTGATTCGCTATCTCCTCTAAAATAACGTATCACAGTTGTTGTACTGAACTGTACAAAATTAATCATCAATAATTAACGTGCTAATGACACAAAACAACCACTCCCTGTTCTCATTGGTTATAGACATCGAAAAATGTGCTTTCTCAGCTGTGACAAGTCTCAATTCTATAAGACCTTTTTCACAATTTAAAATTTATATCTAGTTCCCCATGTGCTTTAAACGAATACTACGTCTAAAATTGAAGAATTTAAACTTGGACAATAAGACCATATATTCATCAGTAGATATACCTGGTGTCATAAATAACATAACAGGATCCTTATATAATCCGATAAATCCAAAAAACAATTAAAAAAGCAATTAACTATTGAAAAACGCTTAATATTATGATTAAGCGTTTTTCAATAATTACTAAGTTTTATGAATTTTCCAATTTTCCTGGGATTCTGTTGTAACTTTATGACACCAGGTAAGTTCCCTGATGAATATTACTCATATTGACCATTCTTCAGAACATAAATTTTATTTTCATTCTAAGACGTAGTATCACTACCATTGGTTCTTGTATTACACCTAGAAAAGGACATTAAATTGTTTGAAATGAATTGTTGTATATTGTTGTCGTTCAAACAGGTATAATAAAACGTTATCTTTCCATGTTGATGTTTCTATATCATGTGATACTATAAAATTCTGTTGTTATCATCAACACCTGATTTAAGTCGTCATCTGAATCGCCTCCTGTGGCAACCTCTCACATAGCTGTCAGACAGTATACAATACAACAACCAAATGAAAGGAGTCAATCATCTGCTTCTTGAGCAATACCTGATAAATGAACCCTTTTTCAATTTAAGTGACGGGTAGGTGATTCACAGTGAAATTCTCATATTTCAGTCGTCGGTTCGCTCAGATTCTTCTGGATGTCAACAGTTACTGGCAGTTGTTGAAAGATGATCTGAGAGAGTATTCTGACATAAGCAAGATTAAACCTAGCCCTCAACGTCCCTTTGTCACTATTTGCCATCTCTTTACAGATGCATGCATCGTCAAACTAGCTATTATATTTAAAATCTAGTTCATAAGGTGGAATTAGACAGAAATGCAACCAAGCTAACTCTTGGGAATCACGTTAAACTACAAAAACCTCTTCAATTTACGATACTAAAAGATAATGTTAACTTTTTTTGTAGATAAAATTGACTGTGATTTGTAATAACAGACAATCCATCAAAACATACTATAATTCATCACAACTGAATATTATATACTTTTATATTCAGGCGAACAACCACCACACACAAACTGATATTTAACAAGAGAATAATATCTTTCAAATCCATCAAAACAGGGATAGTTGGACTTGGATATGAGCTACGGACCAGATTAAGTTTGAATAACGAACTACGAACAATATCCAACCCCATACGATCTGAGTACATTACCTGACCTTCAATGTAAATGAATGATTTAGGTAATAAAGACAATATCAGTTTTAAAAACTCAGTATCAAGTATTTTCTTGAATATTTTATCAGAGATATCCGATGCTATCAGACCCCGTCATCAACTTAACAGATTCACGTCTTGTTCCGCATTGTATTATCAAGATTTGGATGATTAATATCAAAATAGTTTTAAGTGTGTGAAATTGGCCTACTTATTTGTGGATTAGCAAAAGGTGTTTCAGAAGAGTTAGTATAGCATTTACACAGTGCTCAAAGTAAAGGAGCGACTTAAACAACCTTCATAGGGATTTTATGACGGGTTTCATTGGTGGTCAAAAGCGTTCACGGTAGTCTCATTAATAAACATAACAGCCCATAGCGTCAGAATCTTGTTATTTCGGCTATTGTGCTGGCTTGAGATTTTCTCTCAGAGCGAGGGCATTTAGTATATTTCACAAGTTGCCTTTATATTGCAAAGTGTTTGCTCCGGCGTTTTATAACTTACATTTGCATATTGCTGTCCTTTTAGCTGAGAGCCTGCGGGATGACCGTATAGAATTGCAATGTCGTCTGCTAGGCTACTTAAGATAACAAGATTTAGTTCAAATCCTAAGAGGGATGAGGATAATTGGTTGCTTTGCTTGCGTTGCGTCATTGGGACTGCAAGTCTATGGTTTCTTTCATATAACCAAATGATTGGAACGTTGTCATCGGAATTGCTGATTATGGCCTTAACAATGTTCTTCTTGTAGTAAAATGGGAATAAATAAAAAACAAGGATAAAATTGCATGATTTATTAACTGTTTATATACACACATAAATAACAAATTAGATGTTGTCATCTAAAAATGGAATGCTTGATATCTTCATCTTCAGTATTCCAATCCGCAGTATCGTCATCGGCATCAACTTCTTAATAGTTACCTAAAAATCAAACAAGAATCATTCAAAAATAGCATAATAACACAAGATAGAATGACCAAGAAGTTAGCAGCTTTATTTTCAGTCTTCAGAGATCTTGTCGAATGTCAAATTCGTGTTTGCGCAAAATGTATAAGAGCTTTCTGTCAGTCTGTCAAAAAATGATTGTTTTATTGGGTGGTGGTAGAATTTATCAACAGGTGACACTGCAACAATAAACGTTTTAGGAGCATATTAAAATCTGAAGATCTACTTACTGCATAAAGCCTCAACGAATTGAGCGGCTTGACCTCTGGCGCTGTATCCGTTAAGGAAGAGTCGTTGTCCGAATCCAATTTCTTCCAAAGCATTAAGAAGGTTTCTATCAGCAGTTTCGTGACCAGCGAAGAAGACATCAATGCCAGCGGCATGGGCAGCTTCAGCTTGTTCGATAACAGCCATGGCATCGACCTTACCACCAATAAAGATAACAGCAACCTTTCGGCCACTAGATCTTGCTTGGTTGAATTTACCGGGAACAGATCCGATGAGGGCTGGAAGTCTGGAGGAGTCGTATCTAGCCAAGTGCTTTCTGATCTTTCTGTTGGAAGAATATGTATTCAAACTGAATCCGGAATCGATTGGACATGAACCACTGATAACTCCCATTCTCATGAATTTAAATTCTCGGACTTCAAGGGTGTAGGTGATGAATTGGGTAACCCATCCGGTGATGTCCAAACCAAGGGATGCTGGGTCGAAAACGTAGTAAATATCAGTTGGTGTATCTTTGCCACATTCTTCTGCAGCTTGTGTTGGTGCTGGGGTTGGGATTTCTGAAAGACAAAATAAACATTAGACCTTCGTATACATGCACTTCGAAAAAACTTCACTTCACTGTAGGATACAATTGTTTTGTGTTCACATCCTTGTTTATCATAAATAAAAACTTTTAAAAAATTAATGTTTATATGAATCAAACGTACCTAATCCTTTTTAATCATTTTTGAACTAAACAGCATTTAATGAAGATGATGTTTTGTGTTTAGAAAGGACAATTTAATACTGATGAGTCGACAGATGACTAAAGCCATACTTACTCTTGCAGGTTTGACCAGAAAGTTTGTCTTTGATGGCTTCCAATTCACCGTAGGTTTTGACGATGATGACTCGGTCTGGGGATCCAGCAATGTTGTTCAGTTCTTGTCTGTTGACGGACTCACTGACACCAATAGCAAAAATATCAATACCAGCCTGGCGTGCACCTAGAGCTTCCTTGGCGGTCTTGTCTGGCTCTTGTGATTCACCATCAGTAATGACGATACATATATGGGGAACTCCTGGTCGAGCTTTTTTAAACAGATGATCTCTCATGTAGGCAAGACCCATTCCTGCAACAAAAAGAATATAGTAAATTATTTCAGTTTCTCGTCACTGAATTGCTTGTGGAGCATATAAAGATCTTCAACATTATGTCGGTAACAGTTGATTACTTTTCAGAAACATGACGTAAATTTGCCCCCAAGCAATGTTATCTTCCATTTGCTAAATCACCCTTGTTTAGTTTTTCACTTAGTTTCGAGGGTGATTTTTACAATGCTTCTTGCTTCGCAATACTTATGACATAAGATTTTACCTGTTTCGGTTCTGAAACCAGCTTCCCATTTGATATCTCTGATTCTTTGTTGGAGAGAAGCCTTATTGTCGAATTCCCCAAATTCGATAATTTGGTCAAGGAAGACCTTTTGACCGTATGTTTCGAAAGCAACTCGGACCTTTGATGGACCAATCTCATATGGATCAATGAAGCTGTTGACGAAAGCCTTGGCTTTGGTGAAGTTCTGGGCCCATACGGAGGATGAGGCATCGAGGACGAATACAATATCTAATGGATGTTGGTAGCAAACCATGTTTGGCTTTCCTCTTTTGGCTGAAAATTAAACCAAGATATTGTTGCTGAATAAAGATATTTGATATGCACGAGGCGATCAAGCACTACAGTCAAATAGCCCCACAGAACCAAATAAAGTGGCCTCAAAATAATCAAATTACCAGACTTCTCCAGGCAATCCTACAAAATCTGAATCCATGTGCAATTTCTTTGTTAAAACCACCAAATTCAAATGCATACGTTTCGTTATTCTTTACATCCAAAACTAATGGATCATACACGTAAAATTAATTTTAAATATTTTTATGGCTATGAAAATGAAAAAAAGGTAAATATTTACCCAGTTCGGCGTGTTCGAGATCGAAGGCTGTGATAGCCTGCAAAAATAAAAAAAAAAATTATTATTAAAGGTGAAAAACGAAATGCAGGGTTGTACGAATTTAGACAAATTATGGAACAAAAAAGGGGGCAAAAATCCTTCACGCTCCCAGCATTAGAAAAACAAAGTGGAAGATAACGGCGTGTCTCTTCTATTGTAAAAGGGCTGGAGAGATAAAAAAAAAGAATTGTACGTCCTATTGTTTTGAGATATCATATTGAGATTGTTACTAGAACTAACTGCTAAAAAAGCATTCGTCCAACATAAATAAATAAATGAAAAATGAAATAGTTAATCAAAAGTAGCCAAACCCGAAATCAGAGACTACACATTCTTCATGATTAGCCATGTTTCAATCGTTCCTACCATAACTTGTAAAATTCACAATAAAGCACCAATATGAATAAATAAAATATGGTCTTACCCCGATAAAGAGAAGTGCAGCAGCTACCCTGAGTATCATTTTGTTAGTTTATCTGTGTGTTCCGGTACCGTTGTGAGGATGAATGGACCCCAGATCCTCAATATATACCCTAACTTAATTAGTTAATTACCCTGCAGAGGCGTGAATATATTAAACAAATTCTCCTGTATTCACTCCTAACATTTACCTTTTTATGTATGAATATATTATAATGCCCCGAATATGAGAAGTTTGTGGTACGCTAATTGTGTAATTATTCCTTTGCAGCCATATTAGTTTTATTGAAAAGGTCAACTTTGACTAGGACTAATTATTGAAATGGACCAAATTCAGATTTGAATCTGTAAATCCAAATGAGGATTGAGTTTATGAGAGTGGGAGGGTAATTATTTAAATATCATATGCAGAATTATTCACAGTGATTAACCCATTTTCGACCACACAGGTAACCTCAATTTGCTGGACCATAGAATTTGAAACCAGATCTTTAAAAAATTTTGATTTTTTTTTTCAACAGGGTTCATCAATGGGTGATGATAAACAATTTCACCAAGTTTCGTCAAACTCTGTCAAGAACTGTGCCTTCTAGAGTGTTTAAAAGCTATCGCGTTTCCAAGAACAAAGGCAATAATTTATACTTTATAATTTTCCATTTTTACAATAGGGTTCATCCTTAAGTGATTACAAATAAGCACGCCATGTTTTGTCAAATTCTGTCAAGAATTGTGCCTTCTAGAGTGTTTACGAGCTAAACAAAATTGTACGCGTTTTCAAGAACAAGGGCAAAAACTCATACAAAATAATTTCGATTCTTCTAATTTTCAAACGGGTTCATCCTCGGGTGATAAAAACACTCACACCAGCTTTCCTTACAATTCGTCAAGAATTGTGCCGTCCGAGCTGAAAATTGAACGCTCTTCTAAGACAAGGGCAATAACTCATTTTCTTATTTTTTTATTTTCAACAGTGTTCATCAATGGGTGATGATAAACAGTTTCACCAAGTTTCGTCAAACTCTGTCAAGAATTGTGCCTTCTAGAGTGTTTACGGGCTAAAATGTAAAGCGTTTTCAAGAACAAAAACTAATACTATACATCTTTCGATTTTTCTGATTTTCAATAGGGTTCATCCTTGGGTGATTACCAACACACACATCAAGTTTCATCAACATACATCAAGAAATGTGCCTTCGAGAGTGTTTACGAGCTGAGAGTTGAACGCGTTTTAAAGAACAAGGGTGATAACTCTTACTACATATTTTATGATTTTTCTGATTTGCAATAGGTGCATCCTTGAGTGATTACAAACACTTATACCAGGTTTCGTCAAAATGCGTCAAACATTGAGCCTTCTACAGTGTTTACCAGTAATTGTGGACAGACGGGCGGACCGACGTACCAGTACTCCAGGTTTGAGAAAGCAGTGCTAGATCATAATAATCTGAATAAAATTGTTTAAAATCGGATCCTTTGCATGTATTTTGAAAATCTCGTAAATATTTTATGGGTTAGCTTACTCTGCTCGTTCGACAATAGTTCAGATACTGACGATTAACCCCTATTCCGAATTCCGGCTATCTTACTGATTAATTTATATCGAGAACGGCAAACGAGAGGAACATTAGTCCATTTGAAAACAATCGGTAAGCGCGTATAAATCTTTACAAGAAGTCATTTGCCTTCTAACGCTGGAAATATAGTGGCAGCGGGTTCCAAACTCGGTTGGTGGGAGATTCTATTGATCTTGAAAAAGTAATTCCCTCATTATTCCATTCTACAAGGCTGTAAATGACTAAGATCGATACCAAGAAGTTTGACCAGGGACCAGCTAGAATACATGATCCTTTTGCCTTAAAGCAGTGGCGGAGCCAGGTTTACGTCCGAGGGGGTGGGGGCGAAATATCTGAGATTGCCAGAATTTCTAACCTAGTTATGAGATGTTTGCCCGAGGGGACCCCTGTCCCCCTCCTCCTTGGCTCCACCAATGCACTAAAGTTATTATCCTTGTAAACAATTTTGGTTTCTTTCTCATTTCTGTCTTTACCATCACATTCTAGTCGTACCTGCCTCAACTAATTTACCTGCTTGAAGTCTTTGACTTTGATGTTTGGATTGATGTATTACCATTAGTTACCTCCTTATGATTTAGAGGTTTCCCCTTGTCAGTGGTGCAGGTAGGAGGGGCTGACATGGAAAAAACGTCGAGTTGTCGGTTGGGACAATAAACCGAGGCCCCGTGTGCTACATACTGTACTAATTAAAGATCCTTCACTTCGACAGTTTGAAATAGAAAAGGAGTAGGCTAATGCCGTTGGCAAAATTTTTCCCTCATTACACTCCGCTTGGCGTTTCCAGTCTGTAATAGCTTAATTAAGTGCAGATAGGTAAAAATGTATTCATTTTATTTTTATGATTGAGATAACAGAAACTCTAGATGTCACGCAATCACCTAAAAGAAAGGCATTGGTAAATATTTTCATATTGTTAACATGAGAGGTTTTTGTGAACAAAGTGTTGCAGAAAATATAAAATTTGGGGCAATAAAAGAACAATTCTTGACAATATAATGACTTTAACAACAACATAAAAAGTAGGTAGAATGTTTGTTTAACTGTGAAATACAGATTAGTGTATGTAGATAGTAAGGCGATGAGAGCAGATTTCAGTTTGTGGTAGTGACTAGTTTTGAACTTTTTTAAATTTAACATCTTTCGATTACGACAGAATTTTGGTCATTATTATGCAATTAAAAAACAATTCTACGAGTTTAAGTATGATTTCTTTTCAAGGCTGCAATTGTATCCATTTATTCATTCCAAGTTACTTTTTAGTAAGACGTATGCTAGCAAATATGAGGTCGACACGTATTATTGAGTTTTGGACTGATTGGTGTGGATTGTTTTAGTAATGCGCCTTAGCAAACAGTCCTAGTATTCCACATAATATTTCAATCCAGCCGATCAAGGTGTAAATGCGACACGGATGCTTTGCGAGGGGTGGCTGTTGGACCTGTCGGAACACAAGATTTTCCGGAATCTCAGTTGCTATCATTAAATGCCAACCCCCAGCACTTGACCTGCCCCCCCCCCCCCCCCTCTGAAAAGTACCCATTGTCAGATAAAGTTAAAGATATGTGTTAATTGTAAATAAAGGATACTGGTACCGAACAACCCGCGCTATCATTCAATCTCGTATACCATATCTTTAATCTTAATACCATATAATTCAGATCAGTATTATGTTTCCCGACAGTAACTGTAGCTATGAAAATTAATGTTAAAAGTCATGAGAGGTTTTCAAATATTCACCAACCCCAGTTAACAAGGCCTAATTAGTCTATCACTAATTAATAATCATGATAATTAACGATAATATTAATTAATCACAGTACTTAATGATAGAATCATTGTAATCAGCAAGTCGAAAACAACTTATTATTGACATTTACCAGTCAATCTGGTTCAGTGGGGTATTTTGTGATCGGTCTGCACCTACTAGACAATTTCAGAACCTTCGCGAAACTAGTTAGAGAATGACCTGGTTACGACTGTGTTTGAAATGTTTAATGCCTCTGGGTGATTCACAGAAAATTAAAAGAGCTCCAAAGTTCTTTCATGATGGACTAATTTTAGAAGGCATGTATTCAACTGTATATGTAATGATGAATTATTAGGTTGCTACACGGAGAAAACGACTGACATGTACCTATCCAAAACACTATGAATCATTCGATGACTGCAAGTGATTTAAATGAATGAGGTAGTCATCAAACGAGCCCCACATCCGTTCTTGGTCATTCAAGATGGAAATGGTTGACAAGGCGTCAGAATGCTTATGATCACAAACATGTAGAGAGGACAGAAAATGAAAAAGAACAGTCATGAGCAAATGTGTTGACATAACTCAAGCGTAAGCGTTGGTAGGTACCTGGTATACATTCAATCTACGGCTATGACTGCCTACTCTTAACAAAGACAATTCGGAAGTCAGCTCAGTCTTCCTCACAGCAAATGTTCTACGTCATTGGCAGTATATATAATTGTATATAATTGTACTTTCCTTACACGATTCACATTTCTTAACTTAACGTTATGCATTCTAAAAATTAAATTTCACTTTTTGCGCCTTAAAAATCTGATTTGTTATAATTGACATTTCTCATTTACTAAATTAATTTGTCCTGCGTCTAACCTGTACAATTGCTGTTTTTTGTTCCATTGCAATGTATGGTTTGAATAGATGTCTCTCAATGAACCTTTTACATGACCCCTCAACTCCCCCCCCCCTACCTCCGCCCGCCGAGGTTTTAATTTCATCCGCTCAGCAGATGCAAAGCGAGCAGAAAAAATGAAAGGTATTGTTTCTGACGCAACCTCTTAACACTTTATCAGCTCAGTGAGTTCACTGCGGCTACCAGACCTCAAAATGAATGAGTGAAAAAAAAAAACAGGTGGTAGACATCAATCAAAAGGCAAGTGAAATGATAATCACAGGAAGAGGTGTTTCCTGATTCAATAAAAATGACGACCTCGAATTAATAAATCAAATGTGTCATTTCAAAAATCTTTCTATCATTTAAAATTTCTGTGACACATCCCAGTCAAGCAACGTTATTTGTGCGCATGTGTTGTATATTTTGCATACTACATAGTAAAGGAATCCTATAAGCTAATGAATTACATCATTACATCATTACAAAAACTGCCTTAATATTATAAAAAAAAACCAAAAAATCCAATAAAATCTGTGAACCATTAAGACTTCTCGTGTTTAAAAGATAGTATCAGAGGATTGCCAAGTCTAAATTAAAATTCTGAATTCAAGGGGGAAATAAGCATAATTTTACGATTTAAGATTCACATACACGAACGTGAATTCTTTTCAATCATTTAAATAGGACAACTCTACAGTATCTGTTATGTTACATTAACCTTTTATAATTGCAGTGAACAGAAAGCGCTAACGCTCTTATCGAATACCCAACAGTCCCATCTTAGTCATTCATTTCATCTTCATAGATCCCGAAAAGCTATTGGATTCGTTCAATGGAATCTTGACTTTTGTATTACGATTGGTATAAGTGTGTTTTGTCCATGTGATTTCTAAATGTGAATGAGTAAACTTAAGGTCGGAAGACGATGTACGTGGTCCAGGATTGTTGATACAACAGAAAGCCAAATACATTCTGTGGAATATTACTTCTCGTGTCTGGATCCATGCTTCGTTTATTTGATTCTTCTATATTGTAGTGACAATCCTCAACGGACACAGTACTGGGTACCTTCTCTAGTCTATTACATGGTCTAATCCCATCTTTGGTCATTTATTTCACTATGAGAGACGAAGAGAAGCTATTGGATTAAAGTTTTAAGTTTGGTTATAAAGTATGGAAACCCTGCAGCGTTACATCACAAGTAAAATGTTAAGTAGACTTAGCAGTCCCTTCAATTGTGAAGTAAATGGCTTAATAATTACTGTATAGAATACAAGGAACCCACACTTACTTTATCTGTAGAAGTCATTAAAGTCAGAGGTCGCAGTGACATGTCAGATCTGTATTTACTCTACTTCTACTGGAAATTCGAATCCAAACTTAGAAAGATAGAAAATAATTTGTATTCGACACTAAGAAGTTATATTCAGTTGGGATGCTAATGAGTTTGTTTGAAAGGCTATGTTTTTTTACTACATCTTGTTATGAGAGTTCCGAATTCCAAAACACTATTAGAGTAGATGCCTTGAAGATGGCCCGACTTCATGACAAAAGCATGATCAAAACTTCAGCCTTACGGAACGCAGTACGTACATAGATCGTGGAACAACTTGATCGACAAAATGATAAACCAAGGCAACTCGCTTGATACTAAAATAGAACAAAGTCGACAAGTATTAAAGGCTAACACATTCCAAAATCCAAATATTCAATATTGTATGTTCTTAATCTTTAAATACTCATTTGCCTATTTAGTCTGTATGTCGCTTGCTAGTACAACTCACAGATACTGACTGTTCAAATTATGTTGTACACTTAATAAGACTTTGTCCTACTTATGACTTTAAATAATGGGAACTACAGACAAAAAATCGCAGTGAATGATCAAACACGATAAAGGTTGATGCTATTTTTCTAAATTTACTTTCTGTTCTCTTCAAATATAGTCAGGGCCATTAAAAGTTTTAAGGATTATGACCAGATTCTAAGCACTGATCAGGCTTTCATACGATAAAAGTGGAAACCAGTTAAATAATATTGTATTTCGCGATTAATATGGAAAGAGATAACAAATGAACTTGTGGAAATGAAAATATCTTGTGTTAAGCTTAGTGGAGTTACTTCCCATATCTAAATTACTAAATTGAAGACCGCATACTTATTTGCACATCTCTGCAAACTTTAATCTGTATGGAAATATTTGTAAAGAAGAGTACAGCAGCTTAACCATGCCTCAATCGTCAAGAGTCTCATTAAAAACACTATGACAGGCGACGATAATTTGAACCTTTATGTTCTTTTCAATTTTTTCATTTCAAGGGAAGTAACTCATACATGTACTAATCTTTGCTCTTACAAACATTAATGTTGCAATCAGTGGGCAATATTTCACAAAAATTCTCCTGATGGATCAATTATTAATTCGAACGAAATAATGTATTTTTATTTACCATTTAGAGTATGTGTTCAAATCTAAATGCCTAAGTATTAATTCATCAATAAAGTCCCAACAATAATTATACACCAATTTATTTTACGAGTTGTGTTATCGAAAACAAAAACGAGTCTTCCAAATGACCTAACATATCTCATAAAAAATTACACAAATTTAATATAATAATTACAAAATAGCTCCAGACCGTTCACCTATACTTCATTATATAGTTATGGTCTGTAGTTACATACGCTTCCACGGATTTCGGGTCATGGTACGTAGGGCCCACAGATGTAACAGATGACGACGTAAACAAATACAACGAAATAAAGGGGATATACATATAGTTTGCATTTTCGTGTCCTTTTTCGATTCGGACTATCTGTATCACATTTCAGAATGAAACATTCCGATTTTGTTGCTGTTGGATAAAAACGCACTGACGGATATTACTCCATGCTTATCGTGCAATGCCACATCTCCCATTGAGTAAATACTGATATTTTGCGACTTGAGCGCATCAGTCACACAATCTGTTATATAAACACGACATTTCCATCGATTCGCTTTACTAATTGAATACGATGTGGGTGTTGGATTTGCATTTTGTAAAGGTAACCGGAGAGGTGAAATACAGCTTTATCTGGTAGTGACTTGCTGGTCGACTTTATTAATTTAATTGAAAAATCGTAGCTTAGAGAGGCCAGTCTGCTTTTACTTTTAGTGATACACATATACGACAAATTCATTTCAAACGGAAGTAAATGATGCCAACCATAAAATTAACACATGTTCAAAGGATAGTGATAACGTTTAGTGATACCATGGTAGTTCTAGAAAAGGTGACCTTACATACGTCTTAGAAAAAATTCAATCGCCCTTTAATTTACGTGACACACATCTTCGAAAAATACATTTTAAACAAAAGTATATGATGCTGACCATAAAACTAACGCATGTTAAAAGGAAGGCGATAACGTCCAATAGAAAATATTGATACCAAGGCAGATCTATACCAGATGATCTGAGGTATTCACCACCAAACTTCAACACGTGTTCAATCCAAAATATAGCTTGATCCAAACCATTGAGATCACGAGCTTTCAGAATTTCAGATGCTCTTTGTACTTTCATTTTATATTCAGGATTGTCAATAACTTCATCAATTCCTTTGACAATTTCTTCCTTTGTTGCTTCAAATAAATTCATTGTCAATCCGAAACCTCTAGATTGAACTCTATATGCATTACCAGGCTGTTCAGCAAATAACGGAAATCCCAGCAAAGGAACCCCGTTGGATATGGCTTCTCCCAGACCGTTGGCTCCACAATGGGTTATAAACAGTTTAATTTTTGGATGCGTCAAGAGTAGTTTTTGTGGCATCCAATCAACAACAAGGTTTTTGTTTGTAGAATTGGTGAAGCTGCCCTTAATGATGTAGTTATATTTAGTTTCCTGAAACGCCGACACCATTTTATCCAATACGTCATTTCTAGTAGTCGGAGCAATACTACCAAATGACACGAGCACAACACCATGTTTGGAACGTTCAAGGAAATCTTCTAACTCTGTAGAAAGGGACTCTTTTCTTGAATGTTTTGGTGTTATTTGGCCAATTAGAATTACGTGTGGTAATGTAGGGACTGGATAATCTAAAACAAAATTCCATTCTATGAGATGAAGAGCAGCCTGTTTCTGTATTTCACGAACAGCAATGGACGGTCTCTCTGGAGCATACATGGACACGGCGTTACCTCTAGAAAAGGGTTGGTAGATGATCAAAAAAGCAAAAAATAGAGTGTTGTACAACCGTTCTGTAAATGTCATTTGATCCGACAGGGGTAATCCTTTATAAGGTACAAAAGCTGTTGAGAATGGTATTGCGGCAGAGAAGGGTTCAAAGTTCACGCCAAGGTAGATGAATGATATATTATATTTATACGGAATGACACATAATGTCTGAGCTATAGGTGTATTATCCAAGATAACCATGTCGAACTTCTGCTCTCTGATTGTGGTCATGAACAGTTCGTCTGTTAACATGATGTCGAGTATTTTAAGTGTTGGTTCGATTTGAAGAGGAAACTTCCCAGTTCTCCAGAACTGTTTGATAGGACTTACTTCTTCATCGTTTAAAACAGAATCCATGGCATCGTCCAGTTTCTTGGGATTAGAGAAGGGCACAGCTTTAATATTCCTTTCTTTTATTTTCAGTTTGTCTTGTAGACTATCTGGTGCCGTTAACCATGTCTCGTGGCCTCTTTCTTGCATATAGTCAGCAAGTGTTGCCAGATTCTGTAGATGACTGTAAACTGGGAAACTAAGAAACAGTATTTTTGCTGCCACGGCAATCTGAGACAGCATAAGTAAACACATAAAAATTTGTAAGATCTCCATTATCACTAGTGTGCTCGAGAAACGCTTGCTTCTATTCAAACATTATTCTCTCGTGGCTGTAGTGGATTTCGACCCGCCCAGTGAAGTCTAAAAATATACAATGATTTTTGTTTTTAAAAATTGGATTCACAAATACTTTCAAAAATATGGAACACACACTTGAATTATTAATTTTTGATAACGAATAACGAATCAGTAATGCCATAATTTAAAAGGGTGGTTCAAAGCATTTCTTCGGATCCATAGCAGTCGACACTATATAAGCACTCTTATAAATTAACAAACTACTAGCAACTATTGTAACAACTAATAGCAACAACTGTATGGTTGTGGACTCTGTTTGATAAGGAGGTGGAAACGAGCAGCTAACGGTATGTCCGTGGTCAGTGAGCTCAGGTCGAATAAGGATAGCACAGATTTCAGATTGACTGCGTCCGTTGCTAGCATTCTTTGAAATCTAGCTGTCTTTGGCAGTGGCAAGATCGACGGGATATGAAGTTATACCCCTGTCACACCGGATTGCAACCATATGCGAATTTATGGCGACTAAAAATTCACCAGGTCGCCGGAAAACGTGAAGGAAAGGCGAGAAAAAGTCGTTTATCAACTGCAAACCTATGCGACCATATCGAGTACTCTGTCAATTTTCCGTCGCAATTGCAGCGAAGTAAGGTCGGCTTTCCTGTATGATAGTGACAGACAGTATCAGTAACTTAGGTGACCAAATCAACTTGCCCCACATCATCACGTGTTTATCATAATAACTATAATTTTTTCTTATGTTATCAGTTTTCATTGCACCTCATTTCCATTGCTTGTATTCAATGGGATGGACAAAATAATTGACAAGACAGCGTATTAAGGTCAAGGTTCCGTCGAACTTAATATGCTTCATTCGTCTATTTTATACTGTATCTATAATCCGGCAGCGTACCCAGTCTATTCGCACCTGAAGACAGTGTAAAGATTTGTATGACCGTGTTCGTGGACAAATGTTTGATCGTCTAGACGGCTTTCCCAACAACTTTGAACATGGTCTAACACAGTAAAACAACATACCAGACACAGATCAAAAACAGTTAAAGGAGATAATGCACTTACATAAGATAAAGAGTCCATACAGGTGCTCCAAATATAATTCACCAAGGTTAAACAATACTTGCCTATTTTCTATTATCAATATATCACAGTCTATACTTTCAATATGATCAGGGGGTCATTATATAGGACAGGGCCATTCATATTACATAAAGAGAATTGACCTATTCACCAAATCACATGATAGTTATCAACATATAGGTACAGTTGAGGTTTGTTGAAATATCAACTTGCAAACGAGATCCGCTTTGCAAAGTCTTACTCATAATCTTCTTTGAAGTGTTTCAAAGGATTGCTCAGATGACTGGCGATTCGAAGCATTCGATCCATCGCGTCTGTGGACTTGGACGAAAGACTCTTACCCAGGGGCGTATCTAGAAAATGCCAGAGGTGGGAGGGGAGGGCAAAGATGAGAGGTGACTATGAGGGGTGGGAGAGGTTGGCCAAAATTTTGTGAGGTCCAAAGCCCAGAATCAAACAGATTCCAGATGCTCTGAGATGAACTTGGGGTATTTAGAGGGCTTAATCTTCACTTCAAGGGCACGACCAACTAAATACGCCATTGTCCTCAACAGATTATAAGATATTTTGGACAAATTAATATTGAGACTCCGACCTCCTCACACGGACGAATAGATTAAAAAATGGAGAACATGAGTAGCAAATGGCAACTGCGCAAATTCGGTAGCTATTTATATCTTGAAATAGTAAGCTACATCCATTCTGTGACATCGTTGAGGTTGTTGGTTTTAAATGATACTGTAATAATATTAAATCTAAGAAACATAATATATTGTTTCCCTACATACAGGACCCGAACACAGAGGACGCATAATGCCCTGTGATCTAAAAGCATCGGACCCTGGAGGTTTGAGACACACACTCTATGGAATGTGACGCATTTTAATTGTATACAACATTTTTATAAAACAAACGTATCATTCGCGTTTAGTCTTACTTTTAGAACACATTCTGTTACAAATACATTTACAAATAAGATACATAATAAGAATAACAACTATGATAATACAGATTAATACAAATATAACATCTAATAACAAATATTGATACAGTGGTATATCTACACCAGCAGACCGTAAATATTCACCACCAAATTTTAAAATAGTTTCTATCCAAAATACTGCTTCTAGTGTAGCATTACCTTTCTGAGCATTCATAAATTCTGATGCTCGTTTCACCGTGTTTTTATATTGAGGATTCTCTATTATTTCATTGATCGATTTTACAATATCATCTTCATTATCCCAATATAAATCCATTTTAATACCAAATCCACGGGATTGCATTTTGAACGCATTTCCTGGTTGTTCTGCAAATAATGGAAACCCTAACATAGGAACTCCACCGATAATAGCTTCTCTAATTCCATTGGCTCCACAATGAGTTATAAATAGTTTGATATTGGCATGTTTTAATAACGATGATTGTGGTATCCAGTTCTCAGCTAAAATTTGATTATCACTTTGAGTGAATTCTCCTTTTATGATGTAGTTGTATTTAGTTCGTTTGAAAGCGGATACAAGTTTCTTAAATACTGGTTTGTCTCCAGTACTTGCTAAACTTCCAAAGGAAACTAATACAACTCCATTCTTAGATCTGTCCGAGAATTTCTGGAAATTATTTGGAATTTCCAGGCTGCTTTTTGGAGTAACGTCTCCGATTGAAATGATATTTGGCAGTAACGGAATGGGAAAATGTAACATTATGTTGAATTCAAAGATCACGAGCTCACTTTTACTAATAATGTCCATGAGATGGATATTAGGTTTCTCCGGGGCGAAAATAGCAGCCTCATTTCCCATAGAAAATGGATAAAAAATAAGAATTGTGAGGTATAGCAGTGTGCTTTGAAGCCGTTCTATGAAACTCATCCGTTCGGTTGCTGCTAGTAGTGGTGGGGTTATAACAGCTGGTGAGAAAGGAATCCGATGTGATATAGCATCATAAAAAGGCCCATATAAAATAAAGGGAATATCAAATTTGTAAGGGATGATAACCAACATGTAGGCTATAGGGGAGTTATCCAATACAACCAAATCAAAGTCTTTTCTTTTGATCCTCGAAAGCAATGGCTGATCAGAAAGGATGCGATTCTCCAGCTTTAAAATTGGTTCAAAATTCCGTTGATGCCTCCCTGTCCTTAAGTATTTCTCAACACGCTCTGCAACGACCAGGTCAACAAGTTCCTCGATTTGACTTTCATTTGTAAAATGTATTGATTTTATTCCCCTGTCCTTTAGTTTCAACTGGTCATCTAACTTAGAAGTGGTCACCATCCATAAATCGTGGCCTTTATTGACCAACACATCGCTCACGAAGGCAAAGTTTCGAAAATGACTGTACATAGGTATTCCAATGAATAGAATTTTAGCAGACCATGCATAGTTAATACACAAAATAGATAGCACAGTACACCAAATGACAATTTTCATGTTTATTTTTCAGAGCAATTCTATAAACTATCTCCAGTAAAGTCAACCCAAGTTTCTAGCAGTAAATGGTATTATCCAATGTATTGGTTTGTAAAAAATATTATCCTCTTGTACGTCCTTAATATTACTCAAATGGTTAAAAGTGACACATACATTCAAACGAAAAACATTCAGTAACATACTCTACAAGCACAAACAATTAACAAAAGAGTTCAGATGGCGCGTCAACAGGAATATTATCACAGATAAATGTTTTGCTCTTATCAGAATGTACACTAGATATGCATATACATGTATATAAATTTCTTATATATATTCCAAGTCACTAAAATAACCACACCACAGATGATGCAGTTAAGATGAACTTCACCAGCCAACAATATCAAAGTTTTCAATTCAAATAAATAATATAGAAATAAAAACATATTTGATATTATATCTTGAATATTGACAACATCAAATGCTGCAACACAGAGTATCTATAGTTGTTTAACACTTCTGGTAAAAAGCTAATTGGTCTATTATCCATCCGAAAAACAAGACGCTCATATTGGCCTACAATTGACTCTCACTTAAAACTTGTACGCCTACAATCGTTCACGACACTTTCACTTACATTACATCTGCCTCTATTCAAGATGTCCCTTAAACCTCAACAAATAGCCACCGCTTCCTGTCGATTTCATTTCAGCCAGAATCTGTCAGGAAAGCGCCGCCGATATGCAAAACTTAGTCATTATCACAAAAACCGAGTTAAATTGACCCACCATTAGTCAGTAGTCTGTAGAGAACAGAGTTAATCTATTAAAGTTTGATTAACATTTGTGAAAAATAAATAAATTAATTAATGAAATTTTAATTGTGAATGATTTTTTGAGAATTAATATATCAATAACAAAAACCATTTGAATGGCTGTCGTGTATATTCATACATTATAATCATACATTATAACTTAATAATTAACTGCAAACAGAACTGTTTCGGCCTTCTGGGCCTCATCAATGGAGTGCTGACTGGAGTTGAGGTTTGGCTATATAGCCGCCTCAGATGATACCGCATATGTGTTACCATCGTACCATGCCAGAGTGCTCAAACTAGTGAGCTACGCATACATGCTAGAGACAATGGTACGCTCCAGATAGAGTGCTCGACAAGGTATGAACCAAGGAGCATAACTAAATAATCAAATAAATTTAAAATAAAGAAAATCTGTTTTAAACGCTTTATTCATCTGATTTTGTGCGAGTCAATTCAACTAGGCCCACAATATTACTACTATTGGACTGACTTGATTTACCAAATGATCGCCGAAATGTATTCAAAACCGACCATTTTATCATAAATAAGGTTATGTAGAGCTCTGATTTGCAATTAATATCATTCAACTCATTCAATCCGTTAAAACTAAACAATATTAGACGTAGTAAAGAGTTTTATAAGGCAACGATGAAGCAAAATGTGAAGGAGTCGGCAATTTTTATATAGAAAAGCCGCCATCTTGTAAGGGGAGATAACAATATGAAGTTATTGTGGTCTTATGGTTACGGTCTTGTTGGTTACGAATTCTCTTGTGGAGACTGTGTCATTTCCGGTTAATTCTCTCTGGAATTGCAGGAACCATAGGCATCGCTCGAAGAATTGGAATGTCCCAGATTCACTTATAAAGGCTAAAAAAAACTTTTTACGATCCCTTTAAAATAAACTATTTATTACATTCTCCCATAAATCGCTTGTTGGAAACAGTCAATGACCATTTAATTGCTCTCAAACACTAGCTAATAACATAGCAATTTCTATCCGTTTCTGTGACATCATTTTGTTAATGTAGTAAACGGCACTTTCTATGAAATGTGTACCATATTTTAATTGTATGTAAATTTTATTTAAATAATATTCAACAGATATATCATTCCCTTTTAGTCTTAGTTTTAGAACACATTCTGTTACAAATACATTTACAAATAAGATACATAATAAGAATAACAACTATGATAATACAGATTAATACAAATATAACATCTAATAACAAATATTGATACAGTGGTATATCTACACCAGCAGACCGTAAATATTCACCACCAAATTTTAAAATAGTTTCTATCCAAAATACTGCTTCTAGTGTAGCATTACCTTTCTGAGCATTCATAAATTCTGATGCTCGTTTCACCGTGTTTTTATATTGAGGATTCTCTATTATTTCATTGATCGATTTTACAATATCATCTTCATTATCCCAATATAAATCCATTTTAATACCAAAACCACGGGATTGTAGCCGGAAGGCATTTCCTGGTTGTTCTGCAAATAAAGGAAACCCTAACATAGGAACTCCACCGATAATAGCTTCTCTAATTCCATTGGCTCCACAATGAGTTATAAATAGTTTGATATTGGCATGTTTTAATAACGACGATTGTGGTATCCAGTTCTCAGCTAAAATTTGATCATCACTTTGAGTGAATTCTCCTTTTATGATGTAGTTGTATTTAGTTCGTTTGAAAGCGGATACAAGTTTCTTAAATACTGGTTTGTCTCCAGTACTTGTTAAACTTCCAAAGGAAACTAATACAACTCCATTCTTAGATCTATCCAAGAATTTTTGGAAATTATTTGGAATCTCAAGGCTGCTTTTTGGAGTAACGTCTCCGATTGAAATGATATTTGGCAGTAACGGAATGGGAAAATGTAACATTATGTTGAATTCAAGGATCACGAGCTCACTCTTACTAATAATGTCCATGAGATGGATATTAGGTTTCTCCGGGGCGAAAATAGCAGCCTCATTTCCCATAGAAAATGGATAGAAAATAAACATTGACAGGTGTAACAGTGTGTTCTGTAATCTTTCTTTGAAATTCATCCGTTCGGTTGCTGCTAGTAGTGGTGGGGTTATAACAGCTGGTGAGAAAGGAATCCGATGTGATATAGCATCATAAAAAGGCCCATATAAAATAAAGGGAATATCAAATTTGTAAGGGATGATAACCAACATGTAGGCTATAGGGGAATTATCCAATACAACCAAATCAAAGTTTTCTTTCCTGATCCTCGAAAGCAATGGCTGGTCAGAAAGGATGTGGTGCTCCAGCTGTAAAATTGGTCCCAAATCCAGTTGATGTTTCCCTGTACTTAAATATTCGTCAATGCTGACCGTCACAATCAGGTCAGCAAGTTCCTCGATATGACTTTCATTTGTAAAATGTATAGATTTTATTTTCCTGTCTTTTAGTTTCAACTGATCATCTAACTTAGAAGTGGTCGTCATCCATAAATCGTGGCCTTTTCTGACTAACTCATCGCTCACGAAGGCAAAGTTTCGAACATGACTGTACATAGGTATTCCAATGAACAGAATTTTAGCAGATCGTGCATAGTTGATAAACAATATAGATAACAAAGTACTCCAAATGATATTCGACATGTTTGAACTTTATTCTTCAGAGTAATTCTATAAACTATCCCCAGTCAAGTCATTAAACAATTAAAGTTTCTAGCAGTAAATGGCATTTTATCCAATGGTTAACAAAAGAAAACGTGGATATCGATCAACTTTGTTTGAGCTGTTTTTATGGGTTAGAATAGTAATATCCAAATACACGATTATTACTAGTTCGATCGTTTTAATCGGAACGCTGTTAAGTAGTTCACGTCTCGAAGCGAAACACGTCACACTTTTAAATTCGCCACAAGATGAACAACAAACGAATAGCTAACGCGTCCGAATGGTTTTACAATGAACAGCGGCCTCTTATCAGAAGATATACTATAGATAAACTTTGATTTCTGAATCAAAATATAGTCCAAACGTTAAATAACATAATAACCTAGGTCATAGTTACATGGGTGAACTGTGAACCTAACTCAGAAACGTTTCTTTAATCCTATTGGCTACACACCAGGTTATAGTTTAAACTTTTTAAGTGAACGCTGCTAGCGTATAAAGCGATGAACTGTTATCAGAATACGGTGATCTACACTGTCAGCAAACACTAACTAGTTTCTATTCTTACAAAAAATATTATATAACAAACTCCTTACGTGACTATAATATAGTTTATAGATAGACCTTTAGTAATAACAAATGACCTTCAATAGAGGTAAAACTGAAATACACGTACTAAAACTAACCCGAAACTTCTTATTTTACTGGACACGTTGAGAATAGCAGATACCCTGGGGATTTACCTTATCATTAGAAAACAAAAGAGGCAAATAGTGTTCATATCTTTTCGAAATAAAGATCTCGCAATTCCTTTTAACGGCTGTGTACAATATTTAACAAGATAAGATCTCGCATGTTTCGGACTAATGTAAGTAAACAATTCATAGTAAAAAATAAGGTTGTATATTGGCCTACATTACTAGTATGTATGACAAGCAGGGTTTTACTAAAACTACAGATTAGCCGCATAGAATTGTTGGCTATATAATTTAGACAATAATTGTGACCGATCGAAAATGTGCACACATGCAAGTATATAAAGCGAGCACACATAACACTTATAGTTTGCAATATCAGCATCCGCTCGACGCGAACGTTATCCAGTCATCTACCTACGTTACACTTATCGAGAGAACGATGCAATCACTGGGTTAATTTGAAGCTCAATTAAAGTACAAAAAAGCATGAGCATGGATATTGCAGCCCACAACTCGTGCTAGGTACACTTTTAACAAATTAATTTTGTATATTTAATGAGTACACGTATCCAGTGACCTAGCCCTAACCCAATTTTTTGTGTCTGCTAGGCATACAAAGGACAGCATGAGAAGGGTCTTATCGCTAAAACAAAAGGCTACGTGTGCTACAGGTTGTGCACAAAAAGATCCGGTTGCAAATATAGCTGTCATCCACCATAGCACATTGCAAAGAGGTGTCTGTCTAAGTTTCTGAAATCGGAGCAGAAAAGTAAGTCGTAAAATTGTATCTTAATAATAGTTTAATCTCTTAATGATTCTGACAGCTGGTAGGTTGTATCGACATTGGGAGAAAGTCTTGCACAGGCAAATTCAAGTTCACACTTGATTTGAATGCGATAAAGTATACAGGACGGTGTAAATTATTACTTATCTTACATGTTCATACTGAATATAAGACTGAATATTAAAGAGTTGTGTTCATATAGAAATCATTAACATGTTATTTTTATATTGCAGTGGTCGTGCAGTAGATTAATGTCGGTTACACCCATAGGTGTTTGTTTAAATCATCAGTTACGAGTTGAAATAGTGGCAAGGTAGAGTTCACAGTATTGTCACAGTGAGTAAATAAATACAATTGAGTGAGTAAGTCCAGTATATAGGACGGTCGAGTTATCGAAATCATACAATGTCCTTTTTATATTGCATTCGTCTTACTGGAGACGCATTTTAAAACAGTGTTATATAATTTGTATAAATCTTCACACACGTTCCTTTTGGATGGAATGCGTTAAAACGTGATCAAAGTGAGTTATCTTAAGATTTCTTTTAGAACACCGGGATAACGTCAAGCAGCTGGCGCTCTAGGCTTGTCTCCCGGGATAATATATTGTCATTTTTATCTCTACACTGTGTTTTCTGAATTCATCAAGTGAAGATTGTGTCATCGTTTCAATTTATTTCACTCCTTCGGCATATTAAGACTTTATAATATTTAGAGTTCTCCCTTTAATTCATATAAAAATAATCGGTTAAATACTGTTTTTAAAATGTTATTAAAGCTTCCAGTGAAGTTCATCGATTTGTACTCTGCATATTTGATTTTACAATAATAAAATAATTCACTGTTACAATAGTGCTCAGTACATACAATTGTAAAGCGACATAGAAATACCACTATTAAAATAGTGCTCAATACATCAATTGTAGATTGATATAGAAATACCACTATTAAAATAGTGCTCAATACATCAATTGTAGAGCAATATCAAAATACCACTATTAAAATAGTGCTCTATACATCAATTGTAGAGCGATATAGAAATACCACTGTTAAAATAGTACTTAATACATCAATTGTAGAGTGATATAGAAATACCACTGTTAAAATAGTGCTCAATACATCAATTGTAGAGTGATATAGAAATACCACTGTTAAAATAGTGCTCTATACATCAATTGTAGAGCGATATAGAAATACCACTGTTAAAATAGTACTTAATACATCAATTGTAGAGTGATATAGAAATACCACTGTTAAAATAGTGCTCAATACATCAATTGTAGAGTGATATAGAAATACCACTGTTAAAATAGTGCTCATTACATCAATTGTAGAGTGATATAGAAATATCACTGTTAAAATAGTGCTCATTACATCAATTGTAGAGCAATATAGAAATACCACTGTTAAAATAGTACTTAATACATCAATTGTAGAGTAATATCAAAATACCACTATTAAAATAGTGCTCAATACATCAATTGTAGAGCAATATAGAAATATCACTGTTAAAATAGTGCTCATTACATCAATTGTAGAGAGATATAGAAATATCACTGTTAAAATAGTGCTCAGTACATACAATTGTAGAGCGATATAGAAATATCACTGTTAAAATAGAGCTCAATACAACAATTATAGAGTGATATAGAAATATCACTATTAAGATAGTGCTCATTACATCAATTGTAGAGCGATATAGAAATATCACTGTTAAAATAGTGCTAAATACATCAATTGTAGAGCGATATAGAAATATCACTGTTAAAATAGTGCTCAATACATCAATTGTAGAGCAATATCAAAATACCACTATTAAAATAGTGTTCAATACATCAATTGTAGAGTGATATAGAAATACCACTATTAAAATGGTGATCATTACATCAATTGTAGAGCAATGTAGATATACCACTGTTAAAATGGTGATCATTACATCAATTGTAGAACGATATAGAAATACCACTGTTAAGATAGTGATCATTACATCAATTGTAGAGCAATGTAGATATACCACTGTTGAATCAGTGCTCAATATATCAATAATTGTAGAGCGATATAGAAATTTTAAAACACGCTTTGGAATCTTCAGAAAATTGACAACGGTTCTGGTTTTACTGAATTTAGGATTCATTTCCATATATATTACACATATATGGTTGCGTTATCGAAAATGTTAGCGTGACTAAACATATTTTTTTTCTTCCAGGTTTATCCACTGAAGGTCAGTCATTCAACATGGAGAACTTCATCAAGTGTTTTATATTTACTGTATTTCTAATGGTAACAGGTGTTGCTCCCGCGAAAATATTATACGTCGGAATACCTTTTTATAGTCATTTCCGTAACGTGGCTTTTATAGGTGATGAATTAACGAATCGTGGTCATGAAGTGTGGATGACTGCTCCACCTTCATTGGCGCAAAAGTTGAAACTGAGAGAAAGGAAAATGAGAGTGACAAAATTTGGGGATGCCGAAGCCCTTGATCGCGACACTGATGCATGTTCAGATGGAATTGCTACCTCTTATCTGCTGACGGGAAAACGACCTTTACCATTCGAACAATATAAAGCTTTACAACATAGAATGCTTAATGACAGTATGCTGCTCTCCGATATTAAAGAACAAAACTTTGATCTAATGATTGTTGACAGCACCCCGATAGCCGCCATGTTGGTTTTGATCCCTTATAAATTTAATGTTCCGTTTATACTGTGCGGTGCTTATTACGATCCTTTAGCACTTCGAGTCCCGTTCTCACCAGCTGTTACTCCTTTTGAAATATTGGAAAATACTGATAGAATGACATTTTACCAGCGATTTAGTAGCGCCATGTGGCATTTACACATAACGTATTACAGTCCCTTTTCGTACGCAAACGCCGCTGGAAGGTATGTACCCGAAAAACCAAACCTGTGCATTGTGGATATTATAAAGAAAACGGAATTAGTATTATATGAGTACAGCATATTGTTAAAATATCCCCAGCCAACAATGCCAAATATAGTACTTTTAGGGGACGTAACTCCATCAAGCGACACCCAGATTCCGAACAATTTCAAAAAATTCTTGGATAGATCTAAGAATGGAGTTGTATTAGTTTCCTTTGGAAGTTTAGCAAGTGCTGGCGACAAACCAGTATTTAAGAAACTTGTATCCGCTTTCAAACGAACTAAATACAACTACATCATAAAAGGAGAATTCACTCAAAGTGATGATCAAATTTTAGCTGAGAACTGGATACCACAATCATCGTTATTAAAACATGCCAATATCAAACTATTTATAACTCATTGTGGAGCCAATGGAATTAGAGAAGCTATTATCGGTGGAGTTCCTATGTTAGGGTTTCCATTATTTGCAGAACAACCAGGAAATGCGTTCAAAATGCAATCCCGTGGATTTGGTATTAAAATGGATTTATATTGGGATAATGAAGATGATATTGTAAAATCGATCAATGAAATAATAGAGAATCCTCAATATAAAAACACGGTGAAACGAGCATCAGAATTTATGAATGCTCAGAAAGGTAATGCTACACTAGAAGCAGTATTTTGGATAGAAACTATTTTAAAATTTGGTGGTGAATATTTACGGTCTGCTGGTGTAGATATACCACTGTATCAATATTTGTTATTAGATGTTATATTTGTATTAATCTGTATTATCATAGTTGTTATTCTTATTATGTATCTTATTTGTAAATGTATTTGTAACAGAATGTGTTCTAAAACTAAGACTAAAAGGGAATGATATATCTGTTGGATCATTTTTGTAAATAGAAAATTAAAATATGTGACATCTTATAGAAATAGTGCCCTAAATTTCTCTTATTACAAACTGCATCTCTCCCCTTTGGTCGAAGTCGAGGTGGCTAATCAGTCGCTTGCTCGCTAACCTGAAGGTCCAGGGTTCAATCCTGGCATAGATCGCTTTCCCCCTTTTCAATTATGCAGGTCGGAGAGGCTTACATGGAAAAGCGTCGAGTCGATAGGATGGGACAAATAAACGAAGCCCCGTTTGCTAGGGGCTGTACACGTTAAAAATCCCCCTACACCTAGAAATCGAAAAAGAGGAGACTTATGTCGCTGTCCTGGCAAAATTTACCTCAATACAAAAAAGCATCTTCTTGTGAAATATTACGATATATAACCTTCTATAGCTTTATCCAGAATTCTCATTGAAAACTTTCCTTAACGTTACACGAAAGCTTTACAGAATTCGGTGATAAAAATGAAGACAGCATGTATATAGACTTGAATTTGTAATATTGAAAATCATTGAATTAGAATATTTTGGCTAGAGTTTTCAGTCTCAAACCTTAGGAAATTCAGTGATCAAGAATGGCTGGGACTAGAAATATATATTACTTTTATCGAGCTTGAATGTTAATGTTAATCATTGAATTGGAATATTTCGACAAGCGTTTTGATCTTCAAAACCTGAAAGAATCGATACAGTGATTTGAATGAAGAGTTGACAACATGTATATAGACTTTGAATGTGTAATATTGAAAATCATTGCATCTGGATATGTCGACTAGAGTCTTCAGTTTCCAAAATTACAGAATTCGTCGATCAAAAATGGCAGGGACTAGAATATATTTTTAGACATCGCATATATCGACTTTGAATGTGTTATTTCGACAATCATTGAATGGTAATAATTCGACTAGAGTTTGCAGTTTCAAAATTTTCAGAATTAGGTGATCAATCATGACAGGGTCTAGAAAGTAGAATTTTTAGATATTTCGACTTGTAATGTTGAGTTTTCAGTTTTTTGTTGTCTTAATATTTTATTTGTGATCAGTTCCCTCCCTTAGAATTATCAGTCATCAATTTTTTATTTGTACCTTCCTATTTGTCCTGTTTGTTGTGTATGTTGAACATCAATGGTGGGTCCGGGCAAGGTATACGTACTCTTCTAGACACTTGATACCACTCTTCATTATGAAATACTTATGTTTGATATAATTTCTCATGTAAAAAGTTCATAAGCTGCGACCGATGATTCAACAAAATGTTTCTTTGGATTTCGGGTTATTTTTTTTTTTGCGGTTCGGATCGTTAGTAGTTGGTTTATTTATTTCAAACCTAACAGAATTGTGTGATCGAGAATGACAGTATCCAGAATGAAGAGTGGAATATTCACTAGAAGATAGTTGTAGAAAGATTGATTATAAGAAATGGGTAATTTATTGATGTTGAAATGTATCATTTTGATTATCTAACTCATTATTTGTACAAGTCATGAATAGAAATGAGTTTTATGATTACACTGGCAATTCTCTGTCCATTAAACCCTAGTGTTTATCGACAAAATAACTGCGACTCACATTTTCCGCTCTAGTCATTTGGTGGAATATTCTTGGAACGGTGTCAAATCTCGAAATCAGACCAATATGTAAAATGACACTTGGTGCAAACATACTTCAGAAATTTTGTCAAGAAAATTGATTTTTGTCAACTTTACAATCTGGAAAGATCTTTGCAATCAGAGTTTAAAAACATCCTACATTTCTGTACCTAATTGGGCTAATGAAGACGGGCATCGTTTAGAAAATTAAACTGCGTTCCCAGGGATATTTTTTAGTACATAATTTGCAAGAAATTCAGTTAAAACGTACCATTCAATAAAGGTAACGACAGCATATAGTCAGTGGTTCACAACCTATTTCAGCCATTACAATCGTGGATCAATAACGTGGACCTTTCACACCCCAAATATTTTTTCATCCACAAATTGTTCTCCTACCCCAGATTGCCACACCCCTGACACTCTAGTCCCACACCCCTTAGGGGGTGAAAACACCCCAGGTTGAGAACCAGGGGCATAGGCAGTACATTAATGATAATTGATAATGCCACGAATAGCTGAGCCCAATCAATTCCAAGCTGTCATAAAAGTTGAAAAATTTTAAAATGTAAAAGTAACCTGGACATTACCTCATGGGCCAGACGATGGTGTAATCGTTATCTAAATATAATGATATATTTTAATTGAGAAATCTTTAATAAGACTTGACGTAATCCGATCTAAAATGACATTCTGCCTGCAGTCAATTTTCTGCTAATAAACCTGTTTAGCACATCAATGGAATCACACGGCGTCAAACAAACCATATCTATTGTTATTTATATCATTATTCCTCTTCAATAGATTATATTAACATAACATGTCATATCTTTGCAGCAGATATTATAAAGTTGTTTTCCATTTTCCTACTTTTCTGCACCTCATGGGCTAATGAAGACGAGCAACGCCATGCAATGTTCAATGAGGACAATTTTGCCAGAACAGCGGCATTCGCATAATATATTTCGATTTCCATCTGTTGGGGATCTTAAACATGCACAGTCTGTAGCTGTGTAATGGGTAAAACACACTCTTTGGGGAAACACCAAATTTTGAACATGTGAATTAATGTTAGATAAAATCAGAAGTAAATGGGCCCAGGGCTAACAATTTAACAGCCCCGGCTAATAGGTATTTAGACGATGCACGCTACAGTCTTCACGAAATAAATAATTCAGTTAACAGGAGTCAAGCTGTCCACCAAATGAATATAAATATATCTTTAATGCACTCGAATATTGAATAAACTTCCAAGCACTTCGGTTCTAGAACTGAAACAAGGCATGTGTAGGTTGGTTACATCCATTTATCAGGCGTTTCAATTCCGCCACTTATAAGCAAGTTATGAGTTCAAGTACATTGTACAGTGGAATGAAATGATATGAATGTTTTTCACATCCAAGTTGTCTGCTCTTCATGTCGAGAAGCAAGATATTTCAGGGTTGTATCTTTGAAGTCTTTATATCTGAATATAAAAAAGGTGTGTTTTGATATTTCTAAATGGACTGTTGGACCCATGATCACATTTTCCACAATACAATATATACCACGTTATCATTGTCCATTTCCTACGTGATCTGGACAATAAGTTTCTACCTACTGGAAGACGGGAAACAAATATAATTCTTACCTTTTGAATGGTAATTCTGTGTCTTTTATTAAAGTGATATTGGAATTCGTGTACTGCCTATGGGGTCATAACTGTTTTGAAATGACAGTAGTGTCAATCCTTTTCGTCAGTTACGCATTTGAATGTGTTCCTCACTGTTCCTTAATTGTTTCTTAACATTAATTATATGATAATATTCAAAGACCCTTACGAAAGGTAGAAATCGGAAAAGGAAAAAATAAATGCAAAATGACGCTACTGTTATTGCGATATTACCGGGTTCATTCAAAATCGTGTCCAAATGTATGGAAAAAAATATCCAAAATAGTTTAAAGCCAAGATGTCAATGCTCCCTGTTTGGTCACCCCCCTATCGAAGTCAAACACCTGCGTGTATCGAAGCCTGAAGCTTTAGAAGGTATTATTGTCACCTAAAAGGCTATTTTGAACTATATTACAAAATATCTTTAAAACAGAATATTATAAATAACCAAACTGTCACAAACGTTGACAATAACGATGGGACATTGGCCTATCGACCGGCTTTATAAATCAAGGAACTATTTAATTCTTGTCGAGACTGACCATTGAAACATTAGTTATTCTACTGAAACTAAGCAGAGTCTAGAAAAACGGTTATTTCCTAGCTTAGCCTCATCTTATACATAAAGATGGGTTTATACAAATTTGGCGGGAGAATGTCTCACTTCTTACTATCAATCTAATGACGTTTGCCTGCTAATTAACCATTTCATTACATTGTGACCGATCGATTACGACTACATGCATTTTCATGGTTTCCGAAATTGGAACTGGATTCTTCAACAGACGATATTTGTTTGGCCAAGTAGGCAGATGAGCGGAAGAAAGCGCGCGAAATTATTCTGGACGTCTGTTTCAATAAGAGTTTATGTTATTATAAAGTTATAACGTGTTATTTTTATAAAAAAAAATGTCGCCAGATCCAAAACTTCCAATGGTTATGGATGGAACTACTAAAATTATAGAAAAACCGAGCGAGGAACCGGAGCGAGAAAGTTGGGGCAAAAAAACCGAGTTTTTATTGTCCGTTGTGGGATTTGCAGTAGATTTAGGAAATGTTTGGCGGTTTCCTTATATTTGTTTTAAAAATGGTGGTGGTAAGCATTTTTAATCATTTTATTTCTGTTTTTTTTTCTTCATTAGTCCTGATTACTCCATTTCATGCTCTTTCATGTTTCATATTGACAATTATCAAAGGTTACAGTTTAAACAAAGTTGCGACGTGTTCCCAACATCTTCTGGGAATTGAATAAATTCATTTGATACCATTTCTAAATCTTATTGAAGACCTTTTTTTGTACAGCAAGGCCTACGTTTTTTATAACGGACCTCTCGGAAAATACTTCATCTGTTAAACATTTTGAAAAAAAAGTTGGGAAATTCAATTTTAAAGTATCTTGATAGCCATGGAAAGCAAATTGTGAAACCTTAAGTCTGGTGTCAATGAGACAATGTGTCACATTAAGATAGTAAAAATAACATATAAGATATAAGATATCTATAATTTTTTATGTACTTATGTTATTTCATATATCACCACAAATACGCCGGGTTTAGGTTCTCAAAGTTATTAATATGTTGAAAATATAGGAAATTAATGTAATACAATTTACGTTCTTTTCAAATACTAAGCTTACTTCGAAAAATTATCATAAAATGTATACATTTATGTATGAATCTGCTGCATTAGATTAAAAATGCTCTTCATTATTATCAATATTCCCTTAATTCTTTCCCTCATAGCACACTGCATGGCTTTGTCCGTCTTTCTTATTCCAATGAAGAACATAAATCCAGGAAGTAAAATTCTATTCAACTTTTGCTTAACATGCGTTGTACTGAAAAAAGAAGGAATATTTCAGAAGTCAAAAAGTAAGATCCGTGACGATTGTTGCTCTGGCACGCTCTGCTGTTAAATATGACATTTTAAATTGATCTAATGATATTACTGTACATGATATTACTGTTGATATGGTTAATTATCTATTCTCATTAATCAAATTGACTCGTGTGATTCTATAGAAAACAATAAATCCAATACTTAAGCAAATATCAGTTTCGTGGGGACGATTCTAAGAAATTTCCATGGTCATAGGCTAAGCGTTGGGGTGAGGGAGATAAAGTATAAAAAAAATTCAAAAATTGCCGGAGTCATTATAGAGAAATATTTTCATGTAAAAATGTTCAGAAAATATTGGAAAATAACAGTTTAAAGGACTTCTTGTCGTTTTCAAATTGACAGTAGAGTGCTGTGTTTAGTCTCAAAAGTTAATTCAACTTAATGAATATTATATTTTTCACAATTTTACGAACAATTTCTGTAATTATGCTTATCTATATTTGTAAATAGGGTAAGGTTTTTAACAATTATTTTGCAATATTTCTGATAATAGATTCACCTCTATTTAAGGGATTTATGACGTCAAAAAGTTATAATTATACATACGTTACAAGAGATTGGGAATCACGACCTAACAAATTCTTGGTAATTGGAAATTTGAACAATATCCGGTGTGGAGGAAAAACTTGTTATTGTTATAATGAAAATTGTATAAATCCAATGGCTGTCAAATAATAGAAAAAATAATGTCGTTTCGTTTAAACTACATTTCTACCTACGCTAATAAGCTAAAAATTATTTCGACATATCTGTCTGAAGCTCTTCCAGATTAGGTGGCTCAATAAAATTTCCAATCAATGACATATAATAGATAATATTTCAAAATAAAAATATTTTGTTTGAATTTTGGAGGAAAAAACCAATTAACTCCCTGTTTCTTATAGTTCTAATTATTACGACCTACACATATAACCGGAAGCGATACTTGACTCTGTCTATCAGCCTGTCAGTTGTACGATTTTGATTGTGCAATAATTTGTTACCTTAAGCTACGTTACTGAGTGTAGGTTCATCCCAGGAAGTTCCATCTTCACAATGGTCAAGTTATTACGAAATTTGTCTTAAACCTTGACTACAAAAGCCACCTTAAGATTCCTTAATTCAGCGTTCATTTATCTTTCAGCTTTCAAAAAGCGTCTTCTTTTACCTTCACATACAAATTAAAATGATACTCGCTCAGCGAGGAAACCCTAAGCACAGCAGAGTGTTTGCCAAAGCAGAGAACAAATTTGACAGTGCTGTGGTGCATTTGAGCAGAAATCGCAAACTCTATCCGCAAACATGTATAAGTTAATCAAACTCCAATAGGAATGATTTCAAAAGCACACAACTGAACACAAGCCTTGTATTTTGTTCTGAACAGACATTGAGCTACGCCCATGCTCGCTTGTTTGATTTGTTGGGTTTTGACATCGACGTGAATGGAGCTCGAATCGACCATGAAGATGCGTAGTTGAATCTAAAATCAATTAGACTTAAATGGACCACCGGCAACAGGCAATTTTTGGTGAAAGTGTACTAAATTGCAGAGCATATTTTGAAATGGTTATTTCATATTCTGAACGAAGAGTTGAAGCGAAAACCGAACGTTTTTTTGAGAAAAAAAGGGACATATTCGCCTTTGTCGGGGGGTGATGGGGGTTTTGAATATATGTAAATAGTCTTCAGAAGTACTACAAATGTACGAAAATCACATAATTCCTTCAAAAAACCTCAAGCTAGGAATTTCTCTTTCATTTTCTATATGTGTCTTTTCTATACATGGCAGAACCTCGCGAAATGACGAGTAGTCTTTTTTAAACTTTCTAACACAGATTTTAAGACTCAAATTTCGACGGTGACCTGTGAACATTATTACCGCTTAGTTGAGCAAAACAAAATGCTGTTTCTGAGACTAAGATACGATTGGTCAAACGGATAGTGAAACTCAATCCTTTAATAACCAAATACAGAATTTCAGATACACAATCCTCACCAGGTCATCTAGCTTTACAATGAGGAAAAATTCCAAAATGACCATTAAGCATATGATGACAGTTATAAGTAAGCAAAGACAATGAACTTCAGTGGGAAGTTGACAACGGAAACATTCTACAAAACAAAGACAATCAACTCATATCTTGATTTAAATGGGTTAATAAACCAGTGATCCTAATTTAAAAACAATATGGCGATATGAAAATCTAATCAACTGTTAATAATCAAACTTGACAATGACATTATTTGTTACTGTATATAGATCCTAAAGTCACAATATTACCAATTAATTCACATTCCAGAAAGAAACGAAATGGAATTATATGTCCCATTTCTCTGCACAACATTATACATCGGTCTGGTAAGACAGCCCTGGAAGCAATTACGTGTATATGCTAACTTTGCCGATAAAAGTTCAATTTTGGAAAGTTAACCACGTTTCCAATAAAACTATCCTGATGATGCACTGTGAATCCTAAACGCAGGTCGACAGCATGTGTTGATCACGAGTCTATTATATTTAGAAAAATTCTAAACCTTCTCTTTACAGTTGTTTTCAACTCTGCTTGAATTATTGGTTCAATGAATCTGAAAAGTAGCCTAAAGAGTGTAGAGTTACTCAGATTTCAGATGATTTCATGTATTTGATCTATTTTATTATTGTGTTTGGTAGTTTATATAGATTACGTACTGTTTAGTTCATGGGTATATTTTGTTTTTGTTTTTATTCGTTTCGCAGTTCGGATTGTAAATGTTTGGTTTTTGTTTATTCCATGCCAAGCAACCCGTTATGTTACTAACAAGCGCTCCATTAAGATTCACAATTCCTTCTACATTTCTATTTTACAGGTGCCTTTCTTATTCCATACCTTATTATGTTAGTATTCGGTGGTTTACCTCTATTTTATATGGAACTAGCTCTTGGTCAATTTCAAAGATGTGGCTGCCTTACTGTATGGAACAGAATCTGTCCATTGTTCAAGGGTAAGTGCTATTCCGTTACTTTGTAGTGTCCATTTTCTGCATTGAGAAAGTGGGTACATAGGAATTGTACTGTACCTTTATTTCTCATATTTCATGTAAAAAGATTATTATTGTCACATCAAAAAATGGCGTTTTCAGACCCACCAGGCTCTTCTACACAAGGGATGTAGTGAGACGTATTTTGTAAGACTCAGGATTATCTCAAGCTGTGAAGCATTCGAAATTCAGTTTCCATCATCTGTGGTTTTGTGGTGGAAAGTATGGTGAAGAAGATTTATCAAAACTTTATACTAGTCAGAGTTAAAGTCTCCGAAATCTAACGTTTGCATTATACATATTTACCACTTGAAACACAATTTACGCCTGATACGATGTCTATCTGAAACCGGAGATGACTTTGGTTTGCTTTGATACTTTTTATACTACGAAAACGTAGTTTTCAGAAGGAATGACACCGAATTTTACAAATTTACTGGAATAAGGACTAAAACATGTGGCAATATTCAAGTTGTCAAGAATACTGTGAGTAACGGCAACATTTTATTGGTGATTTGATGGCAGCAGATCGTTGTTATAATGGAAGAATAAGCCTTTTATCAACACATCTTGCACAAAACTAATTATTATTCAAATACCGGTGATCCTTTCTATAATTAGATATGTATCTTTCTACTTTCGTTTTACAATCTCTACATCTTAGTCTTCATTTTATTCCTTCAGATTTAGGTAGCCATAAAATTTAGGTCAGAGATCGTGAACCCAATGACTTCTGTGGTAGAAAGATGATCACGCTTGGTCACTCCTAATGTTGAGATCTTATACCTTGTAACAAATTGCTGGTAGCTCATTTCATTTGCTTGTAAAATCAGTATAAGCCGTGTAAAGGGAAAGATGCTATCTTTGTGGATGCAGGGCCAGGTCCGTGGCCAGACTTGATTGTTCGGAGGGGTAAATAATATATCCGGAGGGACAATGGTGTATGGCATTTAGTTGCAATGGAATTGGTGGGTCGTCGGAATTTTTTCAGGGGACAATCCACTTTGTGCCTTGCCCACCTGAAAGCTTCAGGTCTTTTCAGGCGACAAAAAAAAGGAAAACGTTTACAGGCACGTTGTTGGCTTTGTCATTTATTTCCATATTCAACTATGTCGTGGTCACTTTGATAATTTTGTTCAGTTGTTCAATATCAACTTGTGGGTTGTGGCTTGGATACGCATTATTATGTCTGGTGCATGTGATCACGTGTTTAACGAATACAATCCAGAGGATATCATCCTGTCAATGAATCTTAACAGTAATTTTTTTTCAGACGACTTAAAATAATTTTGATCATCACTGATACAACTGTCCATATTTGTCCTCATCAGTAGATATTTCTGGTATATCAGATGTTTTTACAAGTTTAATTTCCTCTCATTCTCAAGATTCGAGAGTTTATTTTAATTTAATGCATGAATAATCTCAAGTCTTACACTTTGATTTCAAATCGTCTGGGAACAAATTCTCCTATCTAAATAGCTACATCAGTTAAAATAATGTACCACAATGTTATTTACTGAATGGACTCCCTGTGCTGAGTTGTTGGTGAAGATCAAACTCAGTAAAGTACTAAGACTCAAGAAATGTTTTTATGTAAAAGCTTTTTTGAACATAAACGTCAAGATTGGTGGCATTGTACTACAGTCGAGATGGATGGTGCTTACAATTTTCGTGTATCAATCTGCTAGTTGGACACAATCATGTGTATATGATGCTAGTAGAACTATCTAAACATAACTATCAATGGCTATATAAGAATCGTTAATTTTTAAACTACACTAGTGCATTAGTAGAAAAATACAATTTACTTTTTTTATTCTGAATTTTTCTCAATATTGAAATAATGACTTGTCCCACACATTTAGATCAAGAAATTAATTGAAGTAATCGACAAGAAAGATAAGGGTATTTCCTTATTCAGAAAAAAATCTATTTTTCTCGTTCGACATTTAGTTTATTGAGTGTTTGACATTAAAAAGTACAGACACAGCCTGGTATTTCTATGGTATTGTAATTTAGTATTAACATTTGGTTGTATTTTATAAATGAAAAGAACGGAAGAGTAACAGTTCTGATATCAGCTGATGCTGTCATCCTCATATAATAGCTGATTTGATGTTTACAATAACACAACATGGACTTTCTAATATCAAAAGATTCAACATCAAAATTTTTCCTGTGAAACAGAATACTTGATCTTTTTTTCAGTACAAGAAATGGGCTACAATATTTATTTGCCTGATGCCATTATGCAGTTGTGGTTGTCTCTAAAGTATATCCACTCTTTAGTATCCAACGATATATTAATTAGGATTTATGATTTTCATTAAAAATTTACTGCCACCAATACCTTCGATAGTAACATAATATTAATAGTAGGACGTACGCCAAAGGCCCAATCAAGTGCAGTATAACCTAGTCGACACCAGTACAGAATGAAAATGGAGTGGAACCCCCTTTCATTGTATTAGTCTAGAAACGTACAGAACAATGAGACGTTTACCGCTTAATATGCATTGTCCAGACCAATATGACCCTTAACCCATGATTGTTCTTTATAATTACAGGTGTGGGAATGGCTATCTGTATAATTGCTACATTTGTTGCTATATATTATAATACAATAATAGCCTGGGCTGTGTATTTCTTCTTCTCGTCATTCCGAGCCCAGCCGCCCTGGTTGACGTGTAATAACACCTGGAACACTCCACACTGCACCACCTTCAGAGAGCGAGCACTGTCCATGTGTTTTGAGGATCGCAACGACACGACGGCATCCACTTACTCCAACTGTTCTGCTAATGCCACATCTGATGATTATGCTTCTGCTGCCTCCACTGAGTTCTTTGAGTAAGTATAATCTTTGCTTTCTTATTTTGAAAGATTAGTATATGTTACACAATGGAACGAAACTATTTTGTTGGAAATAAATATCATGAATTTATGAGTAAAAGATTTGGTTTTGTTTCAATTTGTGAAAAAATTATTCCATGATACTGAAATTCCATTGTATCAAATTTAGTAATCCATAGTCTAATATTAATATATCTTTACTGTTATATTTTACTGTTTTAATGTTTTACCAATCCTTACACAAGGCAGTATTATTAGGTGGTAAGATTCATAGAGGGTGGGCTATTCATCAACTCTGTCCAACCTCTTCTTTGCAAAATGCACTACTTAATTTTTATCGAGAAATATACAAAGGATGAATTAATGAACTTCTCCAGATGAAATCAGTACATGAACGATATCTCAGTCAGGCTTGCTTCCGGATCACTGGCACAGTAAGGCTTCAGAAAATGAATTATGTCCAATATATGCGACAAGTCGACCAATGGAACCTATTACTGAATTAGAAGACCTACTTCCAACTTCAATGATAATCGAATACTGAATGGATAAGGATAAGAAAGTATATGATATACGGTAAAGTTAAAATGCAAAGGTAAACAAAGAGTATAGGCATCAACTCGCGATATGTCTTATGTATCATGAAGATCATTCGAGTTGTCAGTCAGCACAATAATCCCAGTAGGCTGATTTGAATACATTCACGTTAGGATTGTTTGTAACTACCTGAATTCGCATTGTTTGTGATAATAAATAAATGCCTGGTGTCGTTTTAAAAAAAGAATCTAAGGATCAAAACTTAGTCGGTGGCGGAAATTTTTTACATATATTTAAATATTGGACTTACGATAAATTTCTCATAGGCAGACATACTGGTGTTTTTTAACTGGGAAAATGGTCTATAATTGTTAAAATGACTATTCAAATCGTTAAAAATAGGACAATTATAAAGATAGGTAAATCTGATAGTCTACTCGATTAATCGTATGAGCTCAATGGTCTGAACCGTTGAGTTAATATATAGATTTCAGAAAAAGTATATCCCTATATCTTGTGCTTTATCATATACTAGATATCTTAGGAGTTCGATTACACTCAAGAAAATCGACTTTAATTAAAAACAGTTAACTGCAATCGATAATATCGATACTTGATCTAGTTTCAACACTGAAAGCGTCAAAGATCCTGGTGATTCTATTCAATGTTCTAATAAACTTCCTGACTGTACATTGTATTAAAATCGTACTGGTCCATTGGATATCTTTATATAATGTTATTCTAATGAGATGTCTAGTCACTAAGTCTTGTATTAAATAAATATAAACTTGGAATTAAGGTTGGAAATTTCCACCAAGAACAACAAATAAAGACCTAAATAAGGAATGAAGAGATAAAAAAAAGCTCTCGTGTTACTCAGACTTCTTAAACGAACGAAGCCATTCAGTGACAATATAATAAAACTTTTATAATTTCTTTTAAAGAGAATTGTAAAGTATACTGCAAGTTTTGAAAATTTATGTCAATTGAAGCTGTAGGTCATCATCAATTACTTAATTTGTCCCACTTTTAAGTGATATTCTAACGAACGGTTATACATGTGGCTACGAGTGCACAGAGCATAGAAAGATTCCTTACACAATCATATTGTTACCTATTTTAAGTAAGCATTAAAAATACCTTTAAATGATTGTAAAGAGGTTTTATGAACAAAAAACCTTCGGATTTTCAGGCAGACATCTGTGGTTCTTCCACTTACACTACACGTTTTAGACCATCATTATCGCAAAAGCTTTCAGTGATATTTAAGGATATTTGCGAATGTGACATTCATCTCTATACGCTCGTATATAGAAATATCTGTGACTGATGGAGGGTGGAGTGGGGTGCTGACGCAACAGTTAACATTAATCGTTTTCACTTAACGTCAATTGTTCCATAGAAAGTTGTCAGACAGCGTTGAAGAAATTCGGTCAGCAGTAGTAGGCATGTTGTATGTTATCAGTTATTGAACATCAATACAAGCAATCACAGTATCTAAACATTAGACTGTGTTTAATCATTAGCTATATTAATTAACCAACCCTGAACACCTATTTATAGCAACCTCTTATCTGTACCACTGTCAAAAATAGCATGTTTACTTTGGTCACAATATTTCTTGTGGACAATTGTCTTAAGGTTTCTCATTTCTTCAATTATAGTTTGTTCTCTTGTTTCTATTGGTTAATTTCTTGCGAGAACCATGATACAGCCTAAAAATGACAACTGACAAGAGCCCAATAGTAGGACATAAAAGTACATTGCCTTGACCAAAGCTTGATCCATAAGCAGACACATTCATGTGAAAAGCAATTAATCTATAAATGAAAATATAACCGATGCTTCCGTCATTACAATTTGTCAAGTTCACACTCTACATGCAACGAAAATTTTCAAGAGAAGAAGCATTAGTAGTACAAGTGAACTTCTTTAAAGTAATTATCATTTTGTTGGGTTTATTTCAGATAAAACTCTACAGTTGCAGTTCATCATTTGTACTATTCTTTCAATGGGTTCAGTCTAATTAAAACCAATGTTTATTTTTCAGTACTCATAAACAATGTATATTTTCAGGCGAGAAGTATTAGAGATGCAGTATTCCTCTGGTTTAGATAATGTAGGTCCGGTAAAATGGACCATGGCTCTGTGTTTAATGACTGTATTTCTAATTGTGTATTTTGCCCTGTGGAAAGGAATTAAAAGTTCTGGGAAGGTATATACATGAATACTCTTATTATTTAGATATATTTTGTACATTTCAATACGCCGACTGTTGCGTTGGCGAACAATCATCATCATATACATGTACCATCACCTTCATCATCATCACCATCATGTACCATCATATACTATCATGTACCATCACCTTCATCATCATGCACCATCACCTTCATCATCATCAAAATCATTATCATTATTTCAAAAATTTCTTTGATTTATTTATTAGATCATATCTAATTAGGAACATTTTCTGTTAATATGGTTGTGACTGAAAAATACTATCAAATATTCATTTTACTATATTTTACGACCACTTTTTAGGTTTTTTTTAATATACCTGACACTGACTTGAAACCATGTGAATTTATTTTCAGGCTGTTTGGGTTACTGCTATATTACCATACGTAGTATTAATAATCTTACTAATCAGAGGCAGTACTCTACCAGGAGCGTATGAAGGAATTAAGTTTTTTATTACCCCGAAGTGGGAAATGTTGTTAACAATAACGGTAAGCTTTCCTTACTTACATGACAGAGGGATATTTTACCTTTATTCATCTCGGTAATAGCAATAGCGATTGAATACCATAATGTCATACTGATTGATTGGGACTGCTTGGAACAATAACACGTCTTGAATGATCGTCAGGCCGACTGATCGTACATTTTCGTCTGTCTGAAGCCAGTAGACCAAGGTCGAAATGTTGCTGATAATCTGAAATACCATGTCAAGGTCAAGGATCAACCAAAAAGATTTTCTCAATTCCACACTAAACTGACAATTGTCTAGTGTTATCTTATTAATATTTGAAATGATTTTTATTTTCAGGTGTGGCTTGATGCTGCAGCTCAGATCTTCTTCTCTCTCGGTCCAGGGTTCGGTGTTCTTTTAGCTTTATCTAGTTATAATAAATTCAACAACAATTGTTACAAGTAAGTCAGTTTTCTTTTAAAAGATTTCTTAAATGACATAGGAGAAGCTTTTCTTTCAACTGTTGTCAAAGATCAACAGTGATTCATCTGGTTGAACCAAATCTACGGGCCACACCATGAACAAAATGCATGGGAGGGTTCCCAACCCATTTAAGTCTACGGGCCCCCACCTCATCACTGAGACACCGAGGAGACGTCAGAGTGTTATAATAATGGTCCTCTTGGTATCTGGAGAATGATTTGCTGCTGGCCGTTCAGTAAAATTGAAGATTTATACCAAGTGGTCTTATTTCTTCTGTTTTTATTTGTAGAGATGCGTTAGCTACCAGTGCTATAAATTGTGGTACAAGTCTTTTAGCCGGTTTTGCCGTGTTTACAGTATTAGGCTACATGGCTCATGAACAACATAAATCCATAGATGAAGTTGCTCGAGCAGGTAATATTCTAAATCCAAAACATAACCTTTTAAAATGTTCCAGATTGTATCATTGTTGAGATTTTGATACATGCATTATTTTTTGCAATTTGCATTTAATAACGAACTTTCTTACAAAACAAAACCCCATAGTATTGATTGTATTTTTAAAATATCCTTCACATAAATTATTGCATACATTAAGTCTCCGTGTGACTTGGTGTATGAAAAGTTTGTTCTTATTATTTACATGTATTTTGCAGATGTTGGTTTGATTTTCGTGGTATATCCAGAAGCTATAGCTACAATTGATGGTTCTTCTTTCTGGGCTATTATATTCTTCTTTATGTTAATTATGTTAGGGTTGGACACAACGGTGAGGCTTTATTATACTTACAAACCACACTGGTTGAAATTATATAGTCATGTAAACCTGATGTGATCATATACCAAATCTGTTGGTTGATGAAATATATAGAGTCTACATTATCTACATTCCATTGCAAAGTTACAAAAATACCTTATCGAATACCGAATTCTGCCGACATGTGTCGGATAGAGAATCATTATCAAAAGAATTGGTTTGGAAATGGGGATTAACTTTCCAAAATGTACAGATATTAAACCAAAGTCAGGTGAAAGGAAATCTATTAATGTATTCTGATTCACAGATTCTTATCTTCAACGAACGTAATTTTTTATTTGCAGTTTGGAGGTCTTGAAGCTATTATAACTGGTATATTAGATGAATGGCCATGGTTGAGGAAACGACGTGAATTATTTGTTATCTGTCTGATGTTTTATTGTTTCCTGGGTGGACTAGCCTCAACTACTTATGTAAGTCACAACCATTACTAGATGACTGTTGGTCCGTTACTGGAAATAACATAACTACAACATTATCAGTACTGTGAACTTTCAGAAAGGGAAACCGAGTCGTAGAATATACGAGTTCCAAACGATTGAGAAGAAGGTGGTGCCTTGAAAACATTTTCGCTCTTTTTTAAATCTCAAGATCGTGAAGCCTATAAAAAAGGTTGTGCGTACCTTGTGAAAATTTTTGTCTTATTTCTAGTTCCATTGTTATATACATATCTAATGTATTTTGTAGGGTGGTATTTATATTGTACAATTAATGGATGTCTATGCAGCACCAATCTCCATTTTATTAGTGGTGTTCTTAGAAGCTATAGCAGTAGGCTGGATCTATGGTAAGACTTACATTTTATTTTTGTTAACAACGTCAATATGTTGGTGGTCAAATTCATGCATATTAATCGAATTTTACGGATGAATGAGGATTTATACATTGGCCTCTTGTAGACAGTATTGCTGTAAGTCCATACTTTAAAAAGGGCTTATTCGAAGGAAATGCAAAAATTACAACCAACTGCTTAGGTTATTTTGTAAACTGCTGTAGCCTCTTAAACCAAGAAACCCTAGGCAATGGTCTCTTTTGGATTATCCAGGCACAGTGAATACCATCTTACGTAGGTTCATCTTGAGTGGCTTGAGTGGGAAAATGCCATTTAATTTTGTTTTATATTTTAGGTGTAAAACAGTTTAGTAAAGATATTGAACTAATGATTGGTAAACCTCCAGGTTTATTCTGGCAAGTCTGTTGGGCGTTCATCAGTCCATTTTTCTTATTAGTAAGTATATCAAATATATATATCTTCTAATTATCATATCCAGCCCGGCATGTGTAATTATGTAATGAATAAGTTTTTCCTTTTGGTTCAATACGCAACGGCGTACACAAAATAAGAAAATTATAATCCAAAGTTTGGTTATTTTTTATATTTATTGTTGTTGACAGTGTACATGGACTTTCAATGTCATATTAACACATTTTGTTATTGCAAAATAATAATAAATATCTTCTATCACAAAATCTTTATTGTGTTTAACTGTGGCAGGTGTCTCTAACGACTCGATATCAGAACACATGATACCACTTTTAGGGAAACCAAATATTATTAATTTTTGCGTTGTGTGTTTTATTTTTTCAGACATTATTCGTACTGTCAGTGTTAAACACACCCCCACCAAGTTATGGTACCTATGTCTACCCAGTCTGGGCTAATATTATTGGCTGGCTGATAGTCTTGTCCCCATTACTTTCAATTACTATTTATATGGCTTATGCCTTCCTCAAGGCTAAAGGTTCCTTCAGAGAGGTGAGATATTAAAATAATTGATAATACACATCATACTGGCACAACGAAATGGCAATGATTAGCTTGGAACTCTTTGAAGAGCTCATCATTTGGAATATACTATAGAACATTCGGTCTTGAATATGCACCGAAAATGTAAAATTGGACCAGAAAAGCTATGTTGATATAACTTGTCTGCAATTGTGAAAAATATATTTTTGTGTAAAAATGGAGTCAATAAAAATAGTCAATGATAGTGATGTAACCCATTCAGAATATTCTACAAATTGTTGAGCCTTGACAAATTAATATAGTTAAACAGAATGAAATAAAACTATTCATTCTTTAATTTAGTTTTGATTTGAAAATAGCTTTATTGATGTTATTATTTTACAGAGAGCAAACAGCCTGATCTATCCTCAAGAAACACCAAAACATCTTGCCGAGGAGGGAATACCAGTATACTTGTGAAACTGTTCTGAGCACAGTAATATTTTTAGTTCAAACCAGTGAAACTGCTTCTTGAAGGTGACATATTCTCAGAAGTGGTCAGCCATTATCAACAGTTCTTCCTGCTTAGCAATTCTTATTTAATTTCGCTTTGAAAATACATACTAAAAACCATGGCTAACCTTAGCAGCAATAGCATCTTTTAAACGTATGAATCGAGTGGAATGGATTATTTTACTTGGACATTTTGGTGATTATGACCTAGTTACTCCGAGGGAAGTACATAAAAATACCGAAGCATGACTCAAAACGTGACGCGTAACACAGAACGTGATGCATAACGTGACTCTAAACCATTAACACTTTACGTTACGCTAATACGTGACGCAAAACGTGACGCTATATTAATTGACTTATTTTACTTCATTTAATTCTTGAAGTCCATGTAAATATATGTTTATTAGCTCAAGTTTTATCACCATTAAGGAAACATTAATTTGGTTTTTGATTACAATCTGTTTGCGACTGGAGGAGCAATATCTGTGATTTTGATTTATTACGTGACGGATGGGACAAATGTGATGTGTGTTACGTGATCAAATTGCTTCCATGTATATTTATAACAGTTAATCAGATGTGTATTATACTGCTTTTGTGTTATTCAAGTAGTGTAACAATAGTTTATTATAGTATTGCATCTTGGGCAGTTTTGTAATTTGGAATAATCGGCAGATAAATTCAGCATTGAGACGACATGTTGGAAGTTGTCATAAGATTGGAATCTTGATGCAATGATATCGTGGTAAAATGTTTGTGGTGTTTAGATGTTAATAGATACCAATATTTGACATGGTGACAAAATTATTTTGTTTTTGTAAAATAATATAAAGCAATATCTAGAAATCTGGTTCTGATACAATCCATTTAAGTACAGCTTTGCATTTCGTTTCGCTTTTTTTACATTACATAATTTATAGTTCTATTAAAGCACTGCTGTAGATTATAGTGAAAGAACAAAAGTTCATGTGATCATTAGTTAGTAACACGATTCAAGTTTTTGGTAAATTGAAATGAAATAGCCTGTATCCAGTTACCTTCACGTAACATGACATAACGTTTACAAGGCCTCGGGGCTCAGATTGCCATCAAGTTCCCACGGACAAAATGAAGCGGAACGAAATAATGAGCCTGTATTTTAAAAAGATTGTTTCAGTACCAAAGATCCAAAGTTCATACACAGGTTGTGTTGATATGTATTATTTATATCTGTATATCTACTTACTGGCCACTGGGCTTTCTGAATTTAATTTTGTCCGTTTCTGCTTAGTTCAAAAATTGAATATAACCAAAATATTGTAACGGAAATACGATTTTTAAATGATGGTTTAATCCGACATTAGAATTGTAATCAACACCAATGACGTAGGGGAATCCAAGCTAAATTGAGACAAATGGGTATCTGGGTGGATTTGTAGTACATCACGGGTAAAAGGAACTTCAAAAGTTTGGTGTTCCTTTCAAAATGTCCCCATTGCTAAAAGTCAGTTATAATTGGTAAAATTTTTATTCAGAATGGACAGTGGTCGGACAATAGTTAAGATTTTTGTATATTGAAAAGGTGTTATATGTGTATAATATAAGTGTTTTGTATATTTAAAGTAAATGTTTTGTATAATATAAGTAAGTGTTTTGTATAATATTAATGAGTGTTTTGTATAATATTAGTCAATGTTTTGTATAATATAAGTAAGTGTTTTATATGATATAAGTGTTTTGTATTATATAAGTTAGGGCTTTGTATAATACAAATAAGTGTTTTGTATTATACAAGTAAATGTTTTTGTACATTAATGTATATATAATTTTCTAGTTTGCTTGATTGTTAACATAAGTAAGTTGAAATTGAATCAAGTTCACCCAAAATTTAAGCTACCAAAATTATCAGACAATTTTCTGGAACAATGTGCCACAAAAGTTTTATCACGCTTCGAGTAACTTATGGATATGGTACATTTAATTCTATAGCGTTAGTAAAGAAAAATGTATTCAGTAAACAAAACCATTCATGTTCCAGCTCTGTTAAAGGAGATTTTTAAATTCGATGTTTAAAATGGTGTAGATTAGTGCAGTGTACAGCGTAACAGCATATTTTATTGGTCATGTTGAAAACCCTTTTCCAACTAATTTTATATCATAGTATGCTAAATTAAATACTGTTACATTTCATAAAAAGCGGACCCAATTCATCTTCACTGAGAAGACTTCCACCAAAACCGTGCGTTTCTTAAAACGTAGTCTATACAAAGTTTTCGTTGGAATGTGACCAATTAGTACCTCCAGATGATCTTTGTACTGTTGTGTTTTCTAATATTTTATACTGTTAATGTATATTAATATTATCTCAATTGTGATGAGTTTTATTTGTGATAGGAATTGTGATAAATGCGTATTAGTGATTAATGTTATTGTTAGAATTATTGTTATTAGTCAATACATTCAGGAGAAGAAATTAAAATTGTTGAGAAAACTTTTTTTGTTGCTTGAAGCCATTTTGTCGCTAAACCACACGTGGAATTGTTAGAATCACAGACGTCTGATTGAAAATTGGAATGGCGCAAACACATAAAAATTTTTGCCCTTTTACGGTTGTCGTATGTGTATTTACATTGCGATACACACACCACATATATATATATTCCTTTTTACTGGCCGTTGATTGATTGATCACTCTCAATACGGTTGATTTCGTACAATTTTGACTGTATATGGTTCGCACTATATTTTTACATTAACGTTCCGAATCCAAACCACTTGGTTCCATTTGTTGCTGGTCCTTCTATTTACAGCTATTTACAGATAACCTATGTGAATTAGTTTTTATGTCAAAATCACCCCAAAATATGTTAGTTTTCTTTTTTTTATATACAAAGTTAAAATTGATGTTAGCTTGTCCTTCCGAAATTCCTGATACTAAAAAGGACATTGTGATATACCGGGACCACATTAGAACTAATTGGTATATTATACAAACCTAATCCGACTAATTAGACCAATAGGATAATTGTCTAGAAAACTAATTGAAGAAGTAAAGATTATGCAGTGAATAAGTTAGTATGATATTGAATAAGATTACTACCGTGGAACGAATCTGAATAGGAATTATGACTTGTAATTGATAGAATAACGAAATTAATCCAGAAATATTGCTCAATCTGTTATTCATTTCTTCTATATTAATCCTAGCTGTCGCATTCATACTCGTCTTCCTGGACAAATATTCACAGATATGACGGTAGAAAATCAAAAACGTCAAATAAAAATGGTAATGATGTTTTTCCATGATATTGAAGTGTTTCTAAGAAAATAAATGTCGGCGGTACGAAGGTTCTATTCTGCTTTGAAACAGTATGGTAATAGACATTCGACTGATACTATCTCTTGTACATCAAGACACAGCACGAAGCCAATAACTTTATTCAAATCTCCTAATTTGACTCGTAATCAAACGCCTGTTTCATATAAAGCTACATCAATATCACCGCTAATCTAGGCTTCTTTTCCCAATGTAATTATGCATATTAGGTTTGTAGCCAATCTCTATGCAATGGCAAGTCAACCACGATTCTGGCCCGGACTGAAAGAGTTCAAGTCTATGGATCAGGGCCGACCATTCTGGCTGACAAGCAAAGCCGTTTAGACTCAAATCAATACAAGAAAGTAGTTCTCATTAGAAAGGGATCTACGGAGATCTGACTTGGCAGATGCCACATTTGATAAGCGCAAGACATCTAGAAAATAACCCAATGATCTTACCAGTTTATAAAAGAAACAAAACCATATTATTCTATGCGATAAAGCAGAACACATTTAATTGGTTTTAATTATCAGTCACGAGGTCACTTTCATTAAGTCGGTCAATTGAGTTTTAATGGACTCAAATTCCATTGAAGCTTTAGACATGCTCCAATTAAGAAACGGGGCGTGGTGATTCTATGTGTATATGATGAATAATGTGGTATTGGTATTTTCTTACCATTCATTACTTGATATATATTGTTTTGTGAACTCAAATTTGATTGGCGATTCAAGTCATACTTTCTGTACTTACATGAAGGCACCAGTTCATGAATTTGTTTAAGCCCTTGATGTTCAAAGAAGGCTCAGAAATATATATACATGTAATAAACACGAAAATAGGCATTGTTCATCGAATCTTGAAAAACCCATATTCTACACCACATAAAGTTGCAGATCCTACAGTTCTAGTGTGTAAACCCTTTAGACTTATACGATATCCTCAACAAACGTTCGTCATACCGATAGCGGGATGATGCAAACTTTTAGCCTTATCCTAAATGTTCGGTTTATTTTGGTAACGGGATAAACGATACGTCTCGATCATGTTTAGTTGACTACAGTCAACAAACTCTGTCTACGTGTTGGTATTCGTTTACGACTGCGGGTAACGACAGGGGATGGCACAGGAGAGGGAGATCTAGATACCACTTCTTCAGCCAGTTCATCTGTAAATATAACACTTATCTTTCCGGTATAGGTATCATGAGGCTTGACTGAAATAAAAGAAACAAAGGATTTGTCAGAGGGTTTCAGTCGAACTCCAATCCGCCCCAGAAGCACCACCATTGCGTCAACTGTTTAGGTAGCTTGTGAACAACACCCCAAACGTATATTCTAGAGCACCTCACGATTCTCGTGCGATTTCCTTCGACTTTAAGTGTGGCCACTTTTAGAAGATAAGCAAAAGTAATAAATATTTTTTCATACAGCGTGTAACATTTTTTTTTTGGAATCTCGAGGTGGATTCAAATTAAAGATTAAAATTAAAGTAGTTCTCGATCCAGCAATATAGAGGTAAGGATGCTCCGACAACTGGAGTTATCAGACCATATTCATATATATATATGAATATTGCTTTCCCTCTGGAAACTAAACGGACATGTGTAAACCTTACCATTTACTGTGTTGGAACTGAAACTACTTCTGGTGTCTTTCTTCTTGAATTCCGGCGAGTCAATGTTCGTGCTAACTGTAGAACTATGGATACTTTCACCTGGAAGTGACATCTGCTGTTTCAGTGCATCGGCAGCACCAACCAATATCTTCGTCGTCTTCTTGGGGAGTTTCATTCTTGCTTGAGCATGCGAGTAATATAAAGTAAAATTGTTCACAATAACTGGCACGGGTAATGCCAACATCAGCAGACCACAGAGGGCGCAGCCCGCTCCGACGATATAACCAAGAGCAGTCCGAGGATGCAGATCACCGTACCCTAAAGTAGTCATTGTTACTACCGCCCACCAGAATCCTAAAGGAATATTTTTAAAATCATTTTCACCAAAATCAGCGACTTGTTCAGCATAATATATCAAACAGGCAAATATCAGGACACCGATTCCCAAGACGAGAATCAGGAGAAGAAGTTCTTTAGCACTGGCTCTGATCGTCTGTACCAGAATCTTCAAACCGTTCACATGTCGCGATAACTTCAATATTCTAAATATCCGTATCAGCCGCAATGTATTGAGATAATACAAGCCAGTCGACGTCTCGAGTTCCGGACTAATCCTTATCACAATTTGTCTTATATAGAAGGGCAATATGGACATGAAATCAACCCAATTTAATGCATGCATTACGTATTCTCTTTTACATGGACAGAATATAAATCTGGCAATGATTTCTAAAGTGAAATACGCGATACAGGAGTATTCTACAACGTCTAAGAACAGATATGGTTTGGTCATAGTTTGAGCTTCCAGAACTGTGTGTACATCTAGTATCGTGGCATTAGGTACTGTTACATAACGAAAATTCATGTGTGTTTCCAGACAGAAGGCACCAATAGAAAAAAGAACGAACACCAGTGATATTATAGCCAATACCTAAAAAGTAAATATAATTCTTAATAATATAACAGAAGATGATGGTATATGGGTTTAGGTGCGAGGTACGGTGTGGGATTATCGATACAGCAGAAAATAGAAAAAAGAATCGTTTCTGCATCGTGCCCGGACCCGTACTTCGTTTATCGTACTTCTATTTTCTATCATAACGATTATCCCAAACTGTACAACGCACCGGTAAAATATCCATTTGTCAATGTGTTTCATTGGTGTATTATACAACCACGCAGAAATGATTTGAAGTCAAGAGACTCAAAAGAAGTTTTCTAGCCATTCTATGAGCATTGCCAATTCTTTATGTTTATATCTGCATCATTCTAATTTCACGTCCCAGTTGGTCCCCGTTCCTTCAATTACAGAAAACTCCACTATGGGCAAAACCAAGTGACCAAAATGTTATATTGTTCGATTACAGGAACCACAGACGTGATATGAGCAAGAAGAATGGTGCAATTAAAAGATAAAAATCTATACTAAGACGAAGGCCTGGGGAGCCCCTTTGTATCCCTTCAATTTCTTTCTTTCCTGACCTTAATGTCATACCTTTGCGGCTTTGGTTGAATACGGAAATTCCAGGAGATTCCACAACCGTCGTTTCCAGTGTAACCATTTACCCTCTTTAGCAGCTGGTACTTCCTCAATACCAAACCGCTCTGCAACATGGTCATCGATATCGGAATCCTGCTCATCTTGATTCATATCAATACCATCAATATGAGTTAGGGTCTCTTGAGCATCTCGGTGAGCTCTGTAGGTACTCCAGCAGCACGGCTCAATTTGCCTCTCGTCTATTCCCCAGAATGTCAACTCCTCCTCAAACAGAGGACCACAGACATCTGTAGGAGCATGCAGCTTGCCTGTCCGATAATAATTGATAATCATATTAAATACCCCGGGATGTCGATCAAAGAAATATTCGCCCGTAACGGGATCGCAGTCCGAGTTCTGGGCTTTAGTTTCTGTAATCCACGAGAGTCGTGTATCCGGGATATTCTTTAAGGTCGTTCTGTACGTTTCATATCGTGTTCCTCCAACGTTTATCACTACCCGGTTATTCACATGCTTTGGCGGTAAAGACATCCCCGTCCACTTGCGGTCTCTCTTATTCAACTATTATATATATTTATCCTGAGTAGAAATTGTTTCCTTATCCTATTCGTTCAGTATTATTCTCCTATCCTATTCTCTTATCCTAATCGCCATTCGTATTCTCTTTTCCTATTTGATTATCCTATTCGCTTTCACTATTAGCTTATACTGTGAATTGATCCTATTCACCAATCCTATTTATTTATTATCCTATTCGTTATATATACGTATATCCTATTAGTTGATCCTATTCACCAATCCTATTTGTTTATTATCCTATCCGTTATATATACGCATATCCTATTGGTTGATCATATTCACCTATTTATTCGTTATATATACGTATAACCTATTTGTTTATATACACCTATTCTATTCCTTTATCCAGAATATTTTGTTACAAAGTTCCAAATGACAGAATTTGATACATTATCTAGTAAGAATAGGAAGTGTGATGAAACATGTTGTTATGGTAATAATAATGGTTAATTGTCAATATTTAACGTAATACATGAAAAAGACGTGAAATGAACAGGTGCTCTGACGATTTGTCCACACTGCCATCGATCACCAATACTTATCTGTCAAATTTCTATTATTTAAGATATCAGTGTCCTTCACTAGTCATCTCCCTTCAAGTAAATTTAATTAAATATCGTTGAAATGATTGAGTTGTTAAACAATCTGATGATAAGAAATGGAGAATTAACGATCTGAGAATCCGTGTTATCTCCAGGAATAGTTCTACCTGTATAATGATAGTATCAAATGACATTCCACCAATAGTTCGTTATCATAATTAAATTATTGGAGCATGTTAATCGAGTCTGAGCAGCAGCATGTAGAAAATTACAAAAAATACATAAAATTCGAAATTATTGACTCTAAAGAGTGAGAAGGACGTTTTTTTTTCAGGAGCATCAATATATTTTTTCATAGTAATAGTTAATGAAAATATTCAAATGTTCCTGTATAATGCAAAGTTTATCAGTGTGGAAAAAACGTAATGACTTTATCAATTAAATTCAACGTTGATGTTTTTTCATCTGTTTTTCCAGTTACACACTATCGAGTAACGATATGGTTGTACTATGTTTATAATTCACATATGGGTATTCCAAAAAGGCCTCGCTATTTGGGAGTCTTACCTATATTAATCAGTCAATTATGATATTGTGTACGTCAATTCGTCTTTCCTTATGGAGAGTTTACCCACTAAAACTGTTTATTCAGCCAAGCCGTCTTCATAGAGATTCCAAAAAGCTTAAATCAGTACCCTATCCATGCCGTAATGTTTTTGGAACACGGTTTACTCTGTCTCTTAATTGCGATTCTACTTGTAGCAAGCCTACATCGTGATATCGAGCAAACCTCCTCAAACACAGTTCCGTAGTCCATCTATTTCTACAGTAGGTGTAGTGGTGGACTGAAACTATGGAATGTGAAACTTTACGTCTGAAAAAAAAATGCCATGTCAATTTATTTCTGACCAAATCGATATGTAAGCTTAAACTTCAAAACCAGAATGCTGTGAATACATTCTAAATTTTCCGAACCAGGGGTATATGCCGACTGGTTTGCGACTTTTCCACCGATCTGCAAGATGAAACGTGTAAGTTGCAACACACAAATTCCATTAGATGTCATCGTCCCTCTGACGACTTAGTCCATGACCTTTATTTACAGAATATTACTCAATAGTATCAGGAGCGTATCCAGAAAATGCTTGGCCAAAAGGGGAAGTGTCTATTCGAGGCGAGGCAGGAAGAGGACGAATCCTCTAAGACTGGGACTCTTGGGGCTGTCAAGGGCCTACAGAAGCCAACGGATGAATGTTACACATTTAGAGGGCTTAATTTCACTTTAAAATACTAAGTTTCACAGGCCTGAGTGGGAAAGGGCATGACTCAATGGTCACTGGCTGTACCTGATGAGACCAGGTATTCAAAATTAACCATATTCTGTTACCATAGTAACAATCTTACCGCGTATATCCCTTAATAAGATCTGCTGTATGCATACCAACATTATGGTATCTGGGTTGTACATGTATTAGTTTAACTCGGTCGTGTAATCCATGCGTACGATTCAGATACCGCAAGATTATCAGGTCCGATTTATGCATTTCTGTCCAATTCATCACAAAATTTTGTATCGTTAAAGAGAAATAGGCAGAATTTGGGTAATCCTTGTACAATTTCTGAAAAATAGTATAAATATTGTTAGATTATTATTATAAGAGCAAATCTGAAAACTATATACCAAATATATCAAGGGAGGTAACTAAAGAACAATATTTAGTAAATGAACTTACGATTCTGATACATGCTTATGCAAGTGTCCGTGACAAGGGAGGTAACTATAGGGCAATGTTAAATGACGTGGACTTAAACTTCCAACCATTCTACTCCAAACTATCGGCTTTCACACTGGTTCAAATTCAAGACCAAATCGAACTTGAAAATTTGCAATGCTGGTACATGGTACATGAAAAGAGGGAGGATTAAAGTCAGACGAAAATTGAAGGAATATTTAAAACCGGCATATAAAAGTGGAAAGCTAAACGCAAGGCTGTTGATATGACTCGGTTAAGGTTAATACCAATCACATCGTAGGGCAGAATAAAAGTTTATATTAACTTACATCTAACACTGGTAGAAGATGTAACGGACTGCTCTCGGGAATAATAAATTCATCAAAGTCAATAATAGCTGTAAAGGTATATTTAGATGACCTAGACAGACAGTCATAAACAGGTAATATCTCATCACTAAACATCTGACCATCAGTCTTCTGGAATCGATTTGGATCTGGAATGGAAAAGAAGTGAAATGTAGATAAGTTTTCGATTGTCAGGACTTTGTACAGTAGTGTCGAAGGGGGACGTTTCAAAACATAAATAGTACAAATTATATTCGTCGATGAAATTACCACATGTATCTTTTGAATCGTGTTCTGTTGTCAATGAATATCTCCGCTCTGGACCATGCCACAATATATAGTTTAAAGGGAAGTAACTCAGTATTAATTGACGGACAATTTTGTGACAATGACTTCAATTTCCTACTTACTTTTATCATACGCAGTTAATGTATACGGTAGAATTGTGACTAGACCTCTATTACTGTAATACTGTAGTGCCCTCAATGTTCTAGGGTCTACCATATTGGTGTGGTTTAAGGGGTACACGAAGACTCTTTGAACACCTTGCAGTAGAAGCATCTCCATCCATTCTACTATCAATTCTGGATTCACATAACCATAAACCGCATGTACGCAAACTGAAAGGACCCCTGTTGGCTGTTCAGCTCTAGTGACTACCACTGATGCCCCTTCTGTTCGCGAACAGTTACGGGATACTGACACTACACTTGGTATTTCTGACGCTAGTGATTTACAGCTGTACACAGTGCTTTTGTAGTCCCCCATTCCAAAATGAAATTTCCACATCGCGTCCACAATTATAATTTCCCCACTTTCAAACTGAAAACAACACTGGACACTCGGATTGTATGGTTCACCATTTACAGCTGTAATACGGACGTCAAGTCCCTCTGTAGTTCGAGACGCTGGTATTGCAGAATATATATACAGCTCCAATCCAGGTACTTTCAGTGGATATAATCGAGGCTGGTTAGGATTTTGAATCTGGAATACAATTTTAATTGAATCACAGAAGCAAAATGGATGTATGGTGCCAATGTGCGGTAAGGTCTGTTTACTCGGCACCACTTTTCGGAGAGTCCATATGTTTACTTGGTATATCTATTACAATTACAAAGCCATCATTGATGATAATCAATTGTAAACAACGTTTTCAGAAATTTTCAGATCTAATTGCATGATGAAGCCATATGCTTCGTGCAACTCTTGGCGTTCATCTGTTCATAGTTTATCTTCAATATCTCTGACAGCACCCTCGAAACGATCTCAGCGTTAGGATGTCCTAGGATCTTAAATTCTAACAATGTTTCTAGGATATCATATAAATTCTATAGGACAGGCTTTTTATAAAAGTGATACGACTGAACTATATACAGAATTTCCTATTCCTCGAAAGGAAAGAAACACAGATGTAACCTTTGAGGGATAGATATATGGCCAAATATTTACCTTTCTAGTATACGCTAATACTTTTTCTGTGGAATCTTCTGAGTTCTGAAATAGTTTCCAGTAAAGCGTTAAGTAAGAGTAGCCAAGTTTAGGTATGGGGCTGTTAGTCTTCCTTGTTTTTGGCAAATACAATAAATACAAGCTAGGCAAATTATACCTCGGTGAGCAATATATGACCTGGATAACCCCGATATCTCACCATCTCAACACCTTGATATACTTAGATAACAGTCAATGGTAAAACCTTGAAATCCGATACTGTGTTCACCGAGTTGCTATCTGAACAATTGACACCCCGGGTGACTATGTCTGTCAGCTTGGTATTGTTTTCGGGTTTCTGTTGGCATTACATTCGGTATTTCATTTTGTAAACAACATGGGTGCCATACCCAATATCACAAAGCAATGCACCGGTAAAGAGCTAGAAAGAAAATATTTTTCTCACCTTCATCGGTTTGTCATTGTACACCAGATATATAAAAACACGTATACAAAAGATAAAACAAATAATAGTTAATAATCGCCTTTTCCTTATCATCATATCATTTAGTTACACCAGAAGCATTTTTAGATTTCGCACAGTTTTTGTAATTTGTCAACTCAGCATACCTTTTAGAGAGTCCATGAAACCACTGCATTTATTTCTCAAATTCAACATCCCATTCAGAGAATTCACATTATGTTTATTCAGTATGCTATGACCATTGTGGTTGTTATAAAATCCATAAATTGCATTAGATATGCCTTTACTAATGTCTTTAAATCTATAAATGACTCACGTAATTCAATTTGTATTGTTTACAACCACTAAGCAATTTTTAGATACTATAGCAATCTCACTCATAACACCCTATTACCTTTTAGAAGTCAGATGTGACTTTGCCAACTTGCCTAAATCAATACCAATGTGTTCTAGCTAATATTGTGGATTGTCGCGTATAATTCGATATATTGAATTTTTTGTAAAAAATGTGAACAGTGGCGGCACCAGCCTCCCGAGCGTGGGGGTACAGACTGACACCCTGAATTGGGTGGGTGACAACTGTCCAGGTTGAGATCCAGTAAGTGGCAGCTCCCTGGAAGCACAAGTCTCCCATGGAGCGTATGAGGAGGTTCTCCCTTTTTAAAAATGGAATTGAATTTTGGTGTATAGTTTTCAAAACAAAAGCGGAATGTCCCGTTAATATTATTAAGCTCTGGGTGACACAAGTATCATATAAATAAAAAGAAATAAGAAATAATGTAAATATTGCCATTAGGACAGCATGTGTTTAGTTACGTTACAGGTCTGTATTGATTCTTGATAGAAATTTAATGATTTTATAATACGCAGAAACAATAACAGGTGTCCTATAAACAACCACCCACGAATGCTAGAGCGGTCTCAATAGCAAGATTAAAGTCAAATTCGACTGACAGTTAAGGTTTGAAGAAACATTTTACAATTAAACTACTCGAGAAGCTAGAATTCATGTCCAATAAGCAACCATCATGTCGTCTACTATTAGGCTAAAACCCAAATCGGCTGACTTCTAAGGTGTGATGCAACATTTGTCACAGACCTACATACAAAGGACAGAACGGCAACATGCTAATAAGGCTACCCCAAATGAGTTGCTAGTATTATGCTAGTCTGATAAATTAATTGTAGAATCGATTTATTTCCCCTTACTACGGCCATATTACTGGTTATTATTTTGTGTGTGTGTGTTTGTGACGTAGAGGAGCTGCTATGATGCGCCAGGTTGAGGGGGTCGAATAGGGACTCAAAAATATTACGGGGAAAGTGGTTCAAAGGCAATTTTTGCACATTCAAAATAATAGGAATTTTGAACTTGGGTGGAAGAGGGAGAGGGTTGTGGGGGCAGGTTTAGTTCCGTCAGATAGTCCACAAGCAAGAGCCTCACTGTATGTTGACCATCAAAATAATTTTGAACTGAACTGTGGTACCTTTCCCACATTTTATAACATCAATCTTGAAGCTTCACTAACACCATTATTTCGAAATACTCTTGCTGTGGGGACTGGGTAAAAGGTTTGAATTCCCACTTTCCTTGTCTGTTCTATATTAAGAAGTTTTTCGTTATTGGGAGGGTATACAACGCCTTCGAAATAATGCTTCGTAATAAGTTTAACATTAGCGTTACAATCAGATTAGCCTTTTACACGCCTACGCAGGGCGCACATATGTTGACAGTTTCAAATAAATTAAAATTTCTTAAAAAATTCACAAAAATAAACCATTCACTCTACGGCTCGGTAATCAAATGAGGTATCTACTGGGTATTCAAATTAAAGTGCTGTCCGCATTTCTATTGAACACGAATAGTGGATTGATTAACCACAGGCTCATAGTATTACATATTAACCCAAATTAACATTAATAATATTGAGAAATGGTAACATTATGAGCGATATTAATCAGTCGTATTCCCTGGATAGTATAATATATTAGATTTGTCTCCCCAATGATATAAGTATCAGAATGCAGAATAGCTACAGACAATGGTTTACATTGCCTTTTATATAGTTTAATGGGTTAATGAAAACTCATGTAATTTTACGGAATGATTGAAATGGGTTGAAGTGCACTGTGGGTACAATTTCCCGGACGGATACATCGGCCGATCACAATCGGTCTGGAAGAGATCTTACACATGCACCACAGCCTCGACAATATTAGAGGGTATCAAATTCAAACCTTCCGGTTAAAACTATCAAAAGGCACCCTTGTACCAGATTCCCTATTTCCAAAACCTGTTTATTTGTAATAAGTTAAAGATATGCAGTTGCTGAAGTTGCCAGAGATGTCAATGTCTGTAAAGTTGCACCATAGCCCTAGGATGTCTATTTTACATTAAGAAAATTACAATTCAATTGTTAGGTAGTTATTTTGAAAATGAGAAACCATCATTGGCTTAGTGACACATGAATTGTTATGTCTCTATTTGATTCGAAAATGTAATCATTTGGTGAATTGAATTTGAAATCAAATCGAAAGAAAATCAACCAATATTGCTATTTCCAATTTCCCTAATTGCAATGAACGACATGGCCATAGTACAAACGATTTGAGTGTTATTTTTTCTCTATTGGGATGTTTGCTTCAATAATTCGTCTCTTGAGAATAAAGTTTCTGCCCAATTGAAGAAAACTCGAGCGATACACTGTAAGAATTGCTGTGAAATTTGAGGCATTTTTGGCCAAAAATCTGTACACATTTAAGTCTTCGCAAAATTCGACAAGCGTAGGATAATACTACTACGCTGACAAAATGTACTGCCAAGCACGGTGTATGTATCAGGTAAAGGAGAGCATAACGAATACATTGTTTCGATTGTTTTTAACGATAACTTTGAATGCATGAGGGACAATTTGGTTTTGTACGTATCTATATCTATATTATTTGCCATTTTCGACTGTTGAAAGATCTTTTAAGACCTTTTGTGCTTATTTCAACGAGTAAGCGTGTTTTGCCAGGTCACCCTTTGACAATGTATCGTCCAGCTCGCTGACCGCTAAGAACCAGTATTAAATCTGAGAGAAAGTTTACAGTGTCTAGTATATATTTATTGAATAAGAAAAGTAAATGAAGCTATAGTTGAAGTAGTCGATGTTTTCATGGTATTGGATAAACTTTTATTTATTTCTTCAGGAAATAAAGAGTTGATGAACGTCTCATCAAAGCCGTACGATTGCTGTAAATGAAAGGAATAAGTCATATCTAGAGAGTAGTAACGTGGATTGTAACAAGCTTAATGAAAGCGATGAATGTCTCTAAACTCGCTAACCCTCGGCTAGTGTAATATCATAGAGAATGAATTAAACGAGTGGGACATTCTGCTTGCTGGAGAAAATTAAGTTAGTATCGACGATCTTTCTTCATCTACCAATGTTAGAAGCTTGATCGTCTGTGAAATTCAAATAATACCTTTCACAATATTGTGAATGTCGGGGATCAAATTATTAACGACTCGCTGAAATAATCGCTGCACCAAGTTGTTATGAAATCTTTTCAAGCAACACCTTTCTTATAGACGAGAAAACTGTAGATTGCAATACGACGTAAGCTTATTTCTAATATTAGTTTTCTTGGATCGACGCTTTGAACATTAGAAATGACGAAATCTTATCCCACCACTTTTCTTTAATATCCGTTGGAAAAGATATCATAGCATGCACAAAATGCACGGCACAAAGCTGTTCAGTGATCATTTACAACCACTGCAATCTGTCATGAAGTCTTTTTCCACCAACACTTTTTTCTTTTTAAGCCTATTTTCGTAAAAAAAAATAGCTTGAAGAGTCCAATTTCCAGTGGTACGTCTAAAGATACAAGAAAACAGACATATCGTGTAACAAGAAATTAAATCGATCTCTTAAAATAACCCAACTTTTGAACTTTAAAATAAAATCTTGTTAAGTTTTTTAATTCAAAATAGATGTCGTTGAACTTTAGTTGAAAATATTAAGTTAAATTAAATTAATCGTCCATAAAACTGTCTCTGGTCGGAAAACAATTGGAACGCAACTTACATCAGATAATATCTACGGTTATTAAAATGTTCACGACTATGGGTTATTTTAAACATGTCGAGGAAAACAATTGGATCGCAAGATAAAAGCTACGGTTGCATTACCAAGGTTATAAAAAAACAAGGTTATTGTGTATTGTATATTTTAGACGTACGCTCAACAAGCTTCAACCACGATATCCCCATTGGTAATTATTCCTTTAAATATGTTTTTTTTTTATTTTTTAGTGTCAAATTAAGCAAACCATTTAATTAATTGTTGTTTCTAATGAATTATCATTTATTCTTAATCGTACTATTATGCTCTTATTGCATATAAACATAAAATGTCCATGTATGTACAGTCTGGATAAACAAAAAAAGACTTTTTGACCTTTCTTGATCGGTCACTCATTGAAATTCTGCTGGTAATTCGCTTCTAATTTAGTTAATTATGAATTAATTATGGACATATGTGACAAACTGGTATTTTTCCAAGTCGTTAGAACACCTCTACTTTCTATTTATATAAAGAATTAGCAATTTCATTTACATAAATGAAAATAAGGGAACCCATCTTTAAAGTGTGGTATTGTGTGGACTATGAACCTTGAAATGTTTTCTTATGACCTATAGTTCATGGACGTCATTACAGGAACTCTATCCTTGAAATGTTAAAGTGATCAATGTTCAGTCATGTATTACCCAGATAACTATAGCTGTCTACCATTGTTATTACATGTAAATACTATTACTACTGCCTCATTACTAGATATTAGTCTACCAGGTTGTTTACACGTCGGTAATCGTACCACACTACTCAACAGTATGTTGGTGTTTGGCACACTGGCATTTCACCTAGTTGGTTGTAGGTCAATTTTTGTAATTATGCTTGGAATATTGCTGCTCACTAGTGGATATTGGTCTACCAGGTCGTTTACATGTTGGTAATCATACCATATTAGCTGAAGCCATAGTTGTAATATAAATACTATTATAAGTATATGGCGGTGTATGGATGATTTCAAGGCAAACTATTTTTATCTTTTTAATGTTTTGTTTACTTTAAGGGAGGCAAAACTCTTATTACAAAACGATAATAACTTTGGTTCATGAGAATCCTCTCTACCCGCTGTTCACCAAATTCTGCAAAATTGTTAAATTCTAGTTTGGACTTTTCGGTTTAGTTATCACCATCAATATCTGATTGTAATACTTATCGAAATGTCACACCAAACAGAAGAAGTGATAAACTGTACCAGAGAAATGGGAGAATACTCAGGAAAATAACTACAGAAAGATACCCAATTCTGGAAGCTAACACAGCGCACTTCACGATTTTAATATGATCACTAAGTTTCTAGAATCAAACCAATGAAAGTATTGAAAGAAGGGCAGATATGAATTAAAATTCCATTTGAACAGTTTTGAACTGGATTTAATTTAAAATCAATGCAATCAATGTAATATAATGTTAGTGTTTATGATGTAGTGTTTAATATTTTCTAGTCACCGACTGTTACATGTTTATAATTTATACAAGTTTCCGCCTAACATAATCTTTATAATGTGTTTATTAAATACCATCAGATCAACTGGAACAATGACGTCGTCATCTGAACACTGTTCAACAGACCACGCCATGCCGGAACAGTTATATTGACTGCTTGATCCTTCTGTACTGATTGGTTTTTCTTACACTGATTGATTCATCATGGACTCAAACTCAAAAATGCATTTCTGTCCTAAAGTTCAGCTTTTCGGACAGATTAATTACATATGAGTGAGTCATATGGAAAAATTATGTCCTGAGCTCGCGTTCCGTAGTTCAGTTCAGAAAGGACGAAACAATCGCTTTTTAATAGGATTACATCTCAGGTTTACGATGATCTTTCCTACCGGCTACTCCTCGGCCAAACCTCTTGACATTTACATTACCAGGAATATCCTTTCCCATTTTACGATTGGGTCAAATGGAATAATTAGGAAAGATGATTTATTCCAGGTAACCAGACTTTCACACGCTGACCCATGATTAGATCTCATGATCACCATCGTTTATTTTGCATACATTAGCCGAAAACGACACTGAAAAGAAAGACCTAATTTCATTTCCTTTCTTCAGTGAATCATGCAAATCTGATAGGAATTTTTCTCAATGTGGGAGTATTCGCCGGGCCTTGAACAACCGTTTGTTTATTTTTGTATCAGTAATAAAGCTATTTGAAGGCCATACGGGTTTAATATTTGATATGTTGAATGTTACAATGACCTCGGATATATCTTTATCAATGTCAACTCTTATCAGATCTGGGATTAACCTCTTTATTATCAGTTCCTTTTTCTACTTAATAGTCTGAGTTTGTTGACTTTAAGGACTGACATGACCTAATTTAACGCATTTACTACCTCAAGGAAGACGAGGCACATTTCCTAGGTCGGATCGTAAGAAGTAGGGCGTGTCCAAGAGTGTGCTTATAAAGAAAAAATGCATGCCACGGATAGCTAGTCTATGTAGTCAAGGATGAGTGATACATGTAAAAGATTACAGTGTTAACTCAACGGCAGTCCATGGCTTCTGATTAAGCAATATTAAAACGAGATGCTTTATATTGAGATACTTCTGGAAGCGTCTGGGTAAAATTATTTCATTTTCGATGATTATATATGCTGATCAACACGACTGGTTATTCATATGGTTCATGGTTCATTCCCACTGAATCTGATATCCAAGGTTATGATGATTCGGCTTTGAAGGCGGATGGAGGCCAAGAGAATAATCTCTATGGATCAAATACGTGCCATTTTAAGATGATGTATATTTAATTATTTACAGGAGGGTCTGGATAAATTGCTGACTCGGCGATAACATTTCAGACCCATTATTCTAAGAGAATACCGCGGAGTGTACAAACATTTAAATAACGAATAACAAAACGTCTCACGAGGCTCGCAAGGATTTAGTTTGAAGAATATTATAATAAAAAGATATTTATATGAGTCTATGAGAAACAATTTGTATATTAGTATTAAATATATTCCAACTTTATTCTCTAAACTGTTTCATTTTAAGAACAAACTGACTAATATGAACTGACTTGAAACTTAATTATTTCTGAAATATTATGAAACCATCTCCCAAAAACAGCTAGCATAAAACCTCTTCTGGGCAATTCCAGATCTCTGAAGAAGACGCGATCAATAGCTTTGATCCCTAGAGATGCAAGTTTTTCTGGTGTAAGTATGGATATGATAGGAGAGGAAATAAACAAGTCAGAATAACATCTAGGGAGTTCAGAATATCAGTTATAAAATACAAGGTCTCTTGAGAGGTATTTATATTCCACTTTTCTTACTGGAATTAACGGCCGAATCCTGAAGTTGTTATGTTATATATTCAATGTTACAATTGCCATAAATTGTTGATGAAAATTCAAATATTCAAATTAAGTAAAGCTTAATCATTTTCTTGCTGAAGGTTGCTTTTACATGTATTTTGTGTCCGATAAAAGTATACGCTCCTGATAGTTGTAAGTCGTAGGCCTGAAACATGTTTTTGGTAGCAATGAAATTGTAGAGAAATGGCAATTTTAAAAGCTACTATTTTACTAAATGAAGACATTCAAAGCAATGTCATGACGCTTTGTTGTCTATACTATTTAGATGGGCACATTCAAGAGTTTCGCCAATAAAAATGGTGCATTTCTTTGATTTTCTGCGAAAATATTGTTTACTAAATACCGCGGTAATAATTCTTTGAATTAGTACGGAAAAAATGCTTTGGTAGAGCTTTTACGACTCTTGAAGCTTTGTCTTCGATGGGTACATTTAAGAGTTTCGCCAATAAAAATGGCACTGCGTCATTTGCTTTCATTTCTCTTAGAACATTTTCTATTTAATATTTTTTTCCAACTCGAGTAATTCATTGACTGTAAAGATCTATTAAGTCAAGAAGAATAGGACAGTTAAAGACAGATAAAGAACAAAACATTTCCCGATGAAATAATTTTATTGTTCTCGAGGCTTTTAACACTTGGCCAAGATACATTAGTGTAATGTTGTAGAGTGATTGTACTTTATATAGGAGACGGTAGGAACGGTTTAATGGTCGTTATATTCTTCTTTCTCTCGATGTACGGGAATGAAGAACGTAAAACTCCATATCAAATCTACTCACCGCAACACACCAAAAAGGAGTACTTCATGTCAATGTGCATGAAAGAAGGATGTAAAATTTCCATTTCAATTCATATCACACAACACTTCAAAAAGAACTCATACTCACCATTCAAGTACATAAAGGAAGAAGGTATATATACAATATATTCGGATTTGTCACAACTAATTTACAGTCAATGGCTCAACTAGCTGAGCGGGGGTCTATGGACTAAAGTGCGTTGGGGCCACCCCCCTGAGGAGTGGGAGCCCGTGGACTCGGTTCAACAAGTCCCTGTGGTAGTTAAGCCATATAGATGGATTGAAGCATCATTTTTGAGTGTTTTGCTTTTATCATTAGCGACCGATCCGATGATAGGCTACAGTGGAAACATTAGTCGAATCGAGGCTACCTTTTTTAGATTTTTCAATTGATTATCATTTCGTTACAAACTGGATCGCCCATAATAACTAACGAAAAACCCCATTTGGTTTATTGTTTCTCGCCCACTTTAAGTAGCCTAATAATTACACAAGAAATGGCTCTGTAGATACCAGTTTAGAGTCACATTTAGAGCTTTTCTGCCATGTCAAATGCCTAAAGGAATGAATATTGTCTTAAATAATTGCAGTCATAATGTACCTTTAATGATGGATTCTACTATCGTCACGGAGTGAATCGGAAAATCCCGTTTGTTTTATTGTTTAAATCTCCCACTTAAAGTATACAACAATATATATATATATCAGTAACCTATAAATGTGACACTTGACTGAATCAGTAGCTCTATTTTTACCCAATTGTGTTAACTATGTACTCTACATTTCGTGGAAAAAAAAAATTGTTACTATTTATAACATAAGGAAAATCCCAAGAAATCATGGTTTAAAGAAAAACTGCGTATTCATTTTCCTGAATCTTTAATTTTATTAATTGAAGGTTTCGGTAACCCTGCTTTTTGATAGAGTCTGTATAGGGGAGAGATAGGTAAGTCGCATTATGTATTTCTAAATTTTACAGTTGTTCGGGGATGGAGAGAATGCCAGCCACGCCATGGTTGTGTGATGAGCTTTGAAATGTTGGACCGTATAAATGTTAAAGATGTTCGACTCTTGGCTAAAATACAGCATGCAGTCTTTCATAATACATAATATAGTGTTAGGTGTAAGTAACGATATTTATGTTATGCTATATAAAATCACAGGATTCAGAACTTTTGTTGGGGAAGAGGTAAGGGCAGCATAACAAATTGTGGTATTGACCTGCTCCCGTTTTGCCTTTTTTTCATTTTTTTCTATTTTATTAAGGCCTTCTCTGACCCCGCCCCCTCCACTTTAAAGCTGCCACTTAAAACATTTCTAATTTTAAAGCTCACGATCTCATAGACAGTCATAAATAGAACAAACATAATACATAGGTTATACATGTCGGCAAAAATGATGAGAATTCGAAGGAAGTGATTCAATTACCTACAATGCATACAGTGCGAGAACAGTGCATACAATGCGACGTTATGTCAATAGAGAAGTATAAGTCATAGTCATAAGTATATCATATGATACATACCATTGTGTTTGTGAATAACTGATTTACAGGAAATAGTATTTTAGTAATAATATGACATCATATATTGGTATTATCTTTTCTAATTATTCACCTGATAATGATTTGCAATTTTAAGCAGATTAAGTAGATTCATTTTGCTTTTAAGATCGAAAACTATTAAAGAGAAGGTACGGGGGCAATCATGCTCACGTCTTAACCTTCAGAATGGCTCGAGATAACTATATGATCACATTTAATCCACCTGTCGGGATGTTATCTTTTTGACTGCAGTGTTTAGCTTCGTACTTACTTTATCTTATTTTGTATCTTTGTTATTTTCAGTTATTAATGGATACAGACAACGAAGACATTCTACGTCGCAACCGGACGCAACTCATAAACGACTTGGAACCAAATCACGTGCTTGGAAAACTGTATGAAGATGGCGTCTTGACTGAAAATGACTGTGAAGGCATCAGGAACATCTCTACACAAAAGCTTCGTTGTCAAGAATTACTGGCATTGTTACCAACTAGAGGGAACGCGGCATATGGGTCGTTCCGGCAGGCATTGGAGGACAATGGGTACCGACATATTTTAAACGTTTTACCAAAAACAGCTACATACGATGCGGACAAACCGACCACAAAACAAAGAGAAGGTGTTTGTGAGGAATGTGCCGATGTCATACCTAAAACAACTTCGCATCCAGGTTTAAGGGGCATCTTCAATAAACATTGCTGTCGTTTAAGACGAAGCCTTGAACCTGTCGATGTCATAGATTACCTGTTTCAGGAGCGAGTTCTGAAAGACCACGAGTATGACAGCGTCCGAGTTGCGCCAACAAGACGACAGAGATGTGTTGTTTTTTTTCAAATTATTTCAAAATCCAACCATCCGTCACTTGTGCACATAATCAAATCATCGTTTGCAAAGAAATACTCATTCATACTCAAATACTTAGAAGAGGCTGGCACAAATCAAGGTGATGAAGAAAGTGAACCTGAACATTACGCCAGGGATCTCAATAATGAATCTCTTAAGACAGTTCTTAATAACGAAAGTGAAAACAGAACACAAAGTGATGCCGATGATGAACCAAATCCATGCTCAAGAGCTCAGAAACAAAATGGATGCACAGAGATAATTTTCGATAAAGAAAGTGACATCCCCGGCGATAAAGCACCTTTAACAGAATCAAAATTCATTAATCAGACTGTTGCAATCAAAGAGACACACAGTTGTAACAATGGTCCAAATTTTTCGTTAGGCGATCCAGAGCATTTGGCGATTAGTCAGAATGGTGGAGTTCTGGACCGGAAACTCCTTGTTGCGTTCAATTCCCTCAGCTCTTACATAAATCAAGGGCAATACGATAAATTTGAATCCTACTCATTCCGTATTCGACAGTTCTACCATTCCAATCCCGATATGATGTGCCTGCTCGGGTATCTTCATGCCAGTCGCGATCTCTACAAATCTGATTTCGACTCAGCCAAAAAACACATAGACGATTCCCTAGCTCTCGTTCCGCAAACTACAAACGGGAAATATTTTACCTTAGAACTTTTTGGTGCCAAGACTCGAATGTACATATCAAGAAAGAAAGTAGAGAAGTTGCAGAGTACCCTGGATGACGCTAAAATGATCATTGAATCTGATCCAGTGGGCTGTACAGGGCGAGCTGCTGGGTGGCTCTACATGAACGACGCTAGAAACATCACGGCTCAAATCACTATGCTGAATTTTAACAATCAACGTAATGTGAAATTATATGAAATGCTTCATAATCAAGCAGAGGCCAGTTTCCAAAAGGCTTTATCAAATTTTCAACGAGATGGTGGAAAGGACGGACCATTTGGATTTGGCTATGCGTTATGTCGATTGGCCATTCTGTTGCTACGATGTGGAGATAACGGCTTGACTATGGGTCATTTGGACGTACCTATTCTCGACGTTAAACGTGCTGGAGGCTACATTCAACAACTAGAAGATTCACCATCTGCGATACCTAAAATCCTTGAGGTTCATTTTCTACTCGCTAAATGCGATTATCAGTTTAGAAGGAATAACCCTATTAGAAGTTTGGAACATGCCGAAGCCGCACATGAGCTTGCCACCGTCCTGAATATGCAAGAATTTATTGATCATGCCCATAATAGACTTGTATACCTGAGAACTAAAACTCCTTTAATGATTGAGGAGGTTCATGACGACGAAATTGATAGATTTCTATTCCCGCCCGGGGTAAGTGATGCTGATGCATCTATGTCATCTGATTAATGTTTCGTAATTTATCGGTGGCATCCGTGATCTGATTACATGTTATGTATTTGTTGTTCTAGGTCATATAATATTCCACGAATCAAAAAGGCTGTGACAAAGAACAAGATTTACAAATATTTCCGAAATTCGGTGATACTCATTATTAAACCTCGGCATCGCTGGAAAGTCATTAGGATCTAAATGAAATATCTCAACGTTAAGACTAGTGACATATTTTATTCTCATTAAAATTCATTTTAAACTGAGAGAAAGAAATGAAGAGATTATAAGATTTGAGATTAAAGTCATCGCCGACAAATTAATTTTCCACGAGAAAATATGGTGCTCACAGAAAATACACCGCATAATAAGTTGTATAGTGTCCTGCGTGACGTGCATTATGTGCATGCTACACAATTCTATCGAACTACTTTTAAAAAAAAAACTATAAGACGGGTTATTTAGAAGAATCAAAGAATAATATTACGTGTTTGTTGGTACAAGCTTTTGGGGCTATTGTTTAAGTTCTGGTTTTCTGAAAAATTTACCAGTTCGGGCACATCATGACTTAACAAACTAGAAATTGCTAGAAAAAATTTCTGTAATAGTCTAGTTTTATTTTCAATTCAATTTGAATATGTAAAGACACATGTCCATCTTTTCAATGTAACTAATTATCGCACAAAATTATTATTAATTTTTTTAATGACAAACTTACCCTATCAAATTTTTATTTTGAGTGTACTGAAATCGCAGTGAAGAACTAACAAATGACCTAGTTTTAACATTAGGCCTTCGATCATAACATTATTCAGCATAGAGATTTCTATAATAGTTTAAATTATATTCTTCTAGTCTTTTTGTTTAGTCTTGTTGTGATTATATTTACATATTTACTCATTTTGTTTAATGGAGATTATTATAACTATTTATTGCTTCCTTATATTTCATTGTTGTATTATTATTATTATATATACTATATTTATTATTTTTATACATTCAAACTTGTGTGTAAAGTAAATGTTTCTGCATTAAATTAAATGAGGTGTAATGATTGAAATTGGCTTGAGTCTGGAAGTATCTTCTGTCCGTTGATTTAAGGATGCTGTTGGGTGATATTCTGTATAAGTTTGTGTGGAAATAAATATTTATATTTTATTTGACAAGTTTATTTTGACATTTTTGTGATGAAATATTTATGTATTGTCTGACAAATTATATTGTTATTATTCTGAATAATGAAATATATTCTTTTTGAAAAAACGTTAACATGGTGCCGTCATGCTAGTTTGACACACATCTCAATTATTATTGGACACTGTAAAGACAGACGTAATGATTCTTCAATTCACAATGTCATCAGTTGGCCATACTTGAAAAAAAATATGCACGTTTGATATTTGAATTTCTTTACGAATTCATTCTATATACAACTAAATATATTGTCCAAACGGATACGGATCCCTAATGATATACCACAACAACCCACAGAATTATCCATTGCCTCTCCCCAGCCTTACGGTCCAGCCACTCTCTTCTCATATTGTGATCATTTTTGTTATTTCTCTGCCACAGTACAACTTGAAAGAGACCGTGTTTACTTCCGGTTGATAGCAATAACGACCCTGTTCCTTTTCTCAATCAACATCCCAACACTATATTAAATCAATGTGAAAAGTTAATTTGAAAATGTTATTGGGAACCCTACTGTTTGTTAATGTCTACTCTGAAAGTAATTGAAAAAGAATTAAACCAAACAAATAAATCTTCATTCAAATTCCATTCCAATAATCCATGTTAGAAGCGACAGTAATGAGCTTTTATTTTGTCTGCAGTCAACCTTCTACGATCTCGGTGGGGCAGCTTTAATCAGTGTAAAATTACAATAGACACAAATGCATGTTTCTTGCTAGAAATCATCTGAAACAATCATCACAGTTAATGGGACAAGAGGCTAGGATTAACGCCCTTTAAAGATAGGTTCCTCTGTACCAGAAAATATGAACTTTGTTATACTGACCGAATGAAAAGTTTTGTATCAAACTAAATGAGCAGAAAGAAATCAAAAATTTACGGAATACATATATATACATCCTAACGTAGACTATTATTAGCTTATTTCAGTAGGTCTATATTAATTATTTGTATTTTTAAATAAGGATAACAGTTACGGTTCCTTTCCATTTTTCCAGGATTAAAATATATCGATTTATAGCCTGTACCGCATCTTGTCCGGTGGGGTGAACCTTCGCTATCAACAGTCAAGTCGAACCAGGAACCAATTTTCAAACATGTTGGCGGTTTATCTAGAAATCTATAAGTTGACAAGAGACATTAGAAACTTTACTGTTGTATACGGATCGCTTTTAATCGATGTAACAATTTTATCCGCACCATTTACTGATCGCTGAAGCAAGCCTAGGAACAATGGTTTACAATCAGACTTCTCTCATCGTGTTCAATGCCAATCTAATGTTTTATACGGGAATATTACAGATAATTATTCCACCACTTCCAATGACAAAGTGTTGTATAACCAGGTATTGTTAAAGAATCGTTTGATTGAACATTACAATGTTGTGTCAGTCAGTTATGATCGCAATAAAAAGTGAAAGGATCAGACATTGTTCTTATTATTTATGATCGCAATAAAAAGCGAAAGGATCAGACACTGTCCTTATTATTTCAGATAGAAAAGGTTGTGCTCAGAAATGTAAGGTATTATGTTTAATATTATCATACATGCCAAATTTCATCATCGCAATAATCGCAAAAGAAATCTTAATATCTTCGTTGTCCCAATTTATTAAAAGCCATTTCTCTGTTATTAAAGTTGTCAGAGTGAAACGTTTATTAATAATAAAAAATACCGAAATACATTATCAAGGTCTCTTGTGAATGAAAATTTGAAACGATCAGGATCAAAATTTAAAAATCTCAGACCTCGGTTTGGATCTGAACTTGTACCCCCATGTAAAGCTCTGTAAATCTTCGTACAGGCGTATCTGATCATGAGTTATCGGCCCTGTACACGAATCACGTCTGGTCGGCCAGTACTTGTAAATATCCAGCTAACTGATATCACAAACTAAGTAGTTTTTGGTCGTAGCCAGTTAACGTACGCTTCCAGCTAACCGATAGTACGACTGCAGAAATAGAGTTTTGGAAGTTGAAAATTCATCAGGGCTGGTTGGGAATTGCATGGCGCCTGATTCATGGAAAAATACCTTCAGAGGTATACCTTTGCGTATACAAAGTCAAAGTTCATATCAATTCATGGTGAATGTGACTCAGATATCAAGGCTCAATTTGTGAATTAATGTACAGTAAAAACATCAATATTTTAGAAGGTTAAAAAAAGACTCTTCCAGTCTCTCTATGAAGAAATCTCTCGTCAATGATCTTACCCATTTTATTCACTTACGACATAAGTGTTAGCGATAATAATTAAGCCACGTAGAATAAAAACGTCAGTTTTAATGGTTAATATTGAAATGAAAGGGTTTTAGTGTATCATAATACACCGATTATTCTAATATTCTTATGATCAAAACCATAAAGCTGGCATGTCCCTCGAGACCAATTCTCTTCTTATATCGACGAAATGATCGACCATAAAGTGATATGTTCCGTTACAGAAGAACCATAGTATTAATAAAACACTAACGGAAAATTGTTTGAAACTTTATTTTGCACTTGACAGAATCTGTGTAAAGATACTCCTCTTTCTAATGTAAAAGCTAATGGATTTGAAGCTGGGAACGTTTGATCTATGAGGTTTGAATGAACTGATGGTTAGCAGTGGTTATTCTAATGACTGGCGATATAACTTAATTAGTTAACGCTCGTATGATTACCCATTAGATTTCAACTTTAAATTGAATATTAGGGTCAGATTTTATCAATTGTCATGGGATATCAGTCAACTTTCAATACTGCGATGAACACATTCAAAAGAAGTTTGAAGTAGTTTTCTCCCTATAAGTAAGCTAACCATTGTATTATACAGCTAACAGTAGTTAGTGCAAAAAATTGCTGACATTACAGAATGTCACAGAACTTATTTTTACCTTCCCTAAAGTCTGTTGCACATAATGTTATCTACGATGACTAAAAATGTAAAATGATCTTCAATTAGGTTATCCTGAAATAGACCCCTGCTTCGATCCCCATAGAGAGGTAGCAAAGGCGGACATTTTGGATTATTGTGACTAAAGTTCTAAGGACAACGGAATCAGATTACACGGTTTTGAATTTAATGGTTACAGGTTGTATGTATATGAAATGGGACGCGAGAAAATTATATTCAGCTTTCCCTTTCTATTTCTACTATTTTTATATACCTCTGTGGTAAACAGTATCATAATCTGGAGGAAGCTGTAAAGATGTCCGGCCTTATGTTAAACTATATAATTAAAACTTTCTGTTGCCTTGAAAGTAGAAAATCGACGTCAGAGACTTGTCTAAATGTTGGCTACATAGAGGTCAGCTGGGACTCCAGCCATCGCCTGTAGATGACATTATCATTATATTCCTGGTACCTTTAACCCTCAAACAATCGATCCTCGCTTAGTTTTCATAACAAATTTAATTTACTTGGACCACAAGGGACAGGGTAGACAGATTTCATACGTTCCTCTTTCACAATTCTGTCACTTTGGGGATAGAATTATGTTGTTATTTTTCATTATTCGGCCTACACAGAATCTTAGTTAAATTTAACATTATGAAATTGAAATGGTTTAACATTAACACTTGGAGAGCGTTGGTGAAACCTTTCACTTATACTTATATACATGCAATATATAATTTTATGACTTATGAATATACGTCACATATTTAATTGTTTGATTTTATTTCATTTTCATAGATTGAACTGCATTTTTTCAATTCACACTTCACTCATTACGTCGAACTGAAATTTATTTCACATAACTCTGTATGATCGAAACAAGGCATTCATGCACGCAATAACAATCTATGACAATATAATACCATATCAACCTTATGAATTTGTT